GTCGGCCTCCAGGTCGCCGGCGTGAACGCCCAGCTCAAGAAGCGCGGTGCCGCCGAGTTCGACGAGGCCCCCGTCCTCTACACTCGTGAGCCCAAGAGCATTTTTAATAAGATTGGGGGTGGCTTGAAGACTGCCTGGAACAAAGCCATCAAGCCCGCCGCCAACGTCGGCCTCCAAGTCGCCGGTGTGGACGCCCAGCTTAAGAAGCGCGGTGCCGCCGAGTTCGACGAGGCCCCCGAATTCCTCCAGACCCGCAGCGTTGACGAGTCTGCCGAGCACGAGGAGGCCGCCGAGTTCGACGAGGCCCCCGAGCCCCTCGAGGCGCGCGACTTCCACGAGAAGTGGGAGTAAGCTTGCTTTTTCATCTCCCTTTCCCTAAAGGCCCGTCGGAGTGCGGCTTGCACGACTGTTTGTTTGTATTTTGTTTTTGCTTTTGTTTCTGTGAGGGCGTTTTGGTTGCATTGCATTTTGGTTTCTTGGAACGTGCGGGTTGGTTAGTTTGGATGTTTGGCTACCTTTTAGGCTTGTGGTAATTTTGCCGATAGGGACCTCTGCCATGGGCACAAACAGGCCTGTCGCTAATTCATCATTTTTAGCACGAGCGTCAATGGCTCCTTGGGTTGTAAAGTGAATGTGACTTGGTCTTCATGTTCTTCGACTCCAGTGTCCCGGTAGTCTGGGCAGCCGGCCGGCTTTTTCTGCAAACCACCAATAGTGCAATCGTGGTCCACTTGGCGATGTCACCCCAAGAACTCCGCCATCGGAGTCGCTGCAGGCCATGCATCCTCATGCATGGGTTCATGAAATGACATGGCTTCATGAATGGAGTCGTCTTCTTGGAAGCTTTCGAGCACCAGGACGTTAGCAGGAAGAAAGAGCTCGGCTGGCAAGGATGCGTGATTTGATCAGGCAGGTGCCCCCCACCTGGGTGCTACCAAAGCCGCCGGCCTGCAGAAGAACATCCTTACCCACTCCAACTCGACGATTCGATTGGGACGCTTCTTTAGTTCCTTTCTCCCGTCCCAACAACCCGCCGGGAGAAAAAAAAACCCCAGGGAAGGACGGCGCGGACAGAGGCTTGGCACCCTGCAGGTTGGGCGTGGTGTCTGCCAGCCAACTCGTGCTATTCCCCCGAAACCCACGTGGACCATGCAAAGCCGCGGGAGGGTGGGTGGTATCTGCCCAGCACGCAATTAGCTGGTCTGCGTGGTTTGATGACTGCCGCCAAGGGGTCTATCTAATTGCGTCCGTCGGGACCTACCACGTCCATCGAGACACCGAACTAGGGTGCTACCTAGGGACGCGTTCTACATGGAAAGACACCCGCGGCTGACCACTCTTATGTTTGCTCATAGAAAATCGGAAGCGTTGGATTAACATAGGGGCGCCTCCTCCTGAACCCCGCAGCGTATTCATCGGTCGGAGGGCTGGCTGCCACCCCCGCCCGCAGGCCAAGCGAAGGGGAAGTATTGATGTGACAATATCGATAATCGTATGCAGGCGCTCGGGCGTTGTTGTTATACCTGTCTTGGTCTGTCTTGGTCTCCATCCCCATCGCTGCTCTGTGGGCGCGGCCATGTCACCCCATAGAGGCCTGTGGATGGGTCGTACCTACGTTGAGGGGATCGCCTTCGGCTACTCTGGGTAAAAGTGGAAGATGTCGAGATTCTGCACGTTGGTCTGTTTTATTTGCCCCTTTCTTCCCTTCGTTTGCTAGGTACTAGGTCCGCGTCATGCGGGCCAGCAACGTCGGAACCGCGAATTTTGGGGGACCACCCCCTGCAGCAGAGCGATCCTCCGCCGCCCCCCTCCCCCTCCTTCCACCCTGGGAACACACACCGCGCAGGCGCGCCCACACACACCCGCCGGCGCCACCCACCCGACGGGGAGGCTGCGGGAGCGGCGGCCCCCCTACCCCGCGACAGGCGATGCGAGCCAACGCGGCCTGGGCTTCCTCATTTGCAGGCGCACGCGAGATGGCCTGTCTCTTGGGTGGTCTTGGCCTGTCGGCGCCGCCGCGTATAAAGCGAGGAGCGTCCTGAGACCAGTAATGTTTGTTTGACGAGGCTAGCCTGCCCTTCCAGCCTCCATCCCATCATATCCTCTGTCCTTTAGGCCCCGTGCTTCAACTCCCTTGGACAAGATGGTGAATCAGCGTCTTCTCACGGCCCTGGCCTGGAGTCCCCTGCTGATCAAGGCCGCTCCGCTCAACGGGGCAGAGTTTACCTCCGTCATCACCAGGGACGTCGCCATCTTGGGTGGTGGTGCTTCGGGCTCACATGCCGCCGTGAGGTTGCGGGAGGATTTCGGACACTCTGTTGTCGTCGTCGAGGCCAAAGACCACCTGGTACGCTTCACCCACGTGGAGAATGTAGACCAGCAACAAAGCTAACCCTTTTTTTGTTTTTTCTCACGTGCAGGGAGGCCATGTGGCGACGTACAACGACCCGGTCACGAAGAGCCCGTACGACTTTGGCGTGAACTCGTACGTCGACACGGGCGGCGCGCGCGCCTTCTTCGGGCGCATGGGCGTCAACACGTCGAGCCCGACGCGCGCGCTGCGCACCAACGTCTACGCCGACTTCCGCACGGGCGAGGCGGTGCCGAACTGGGTCAGCCCCAACAACTCGGCCGCCCTGGAGACGTACCTCCAGCTGTGCCTCAAATACCAGGACCTGATGCTGCCCAGCTACGACAAGTTCCCGGCCGGCAAACAGATTCCCGAGGAGCTGCTCATGCCGTTCGGCGAGTTCGTGGCCAAGCACGGCATCCAGGCCGCCCTGCCCATAATCTTCACCATCGCCGGCATGGGCACGGGCGGCAACATGCTAAAGCTGCCGACCCTGTACATGATGCAGGCCTTTGGCGTGCCCATGATCATGTCCCTGCGCCCCACCACGGGCATGGGCTTCGTGCCGGCGTCGCGCAACAACAGCGAGCTGTACGGCAACATCGGCCGCCTGCTGGGCAACGACGTGCTCTACTCGAGCCGCGTCGAGTGGGCCGAGCGCCGCAACGGCAAGCCGGGGTGCCCGGGCGGCGTCAAGCTCGTGGTGCGCCGCGCCGACGGCTCCAAGGTGCTCGTCAAGGCCAAGCGCCTGCTCGTCGCGTTCGAGCCGACGCTAGAGGCCCTCAACGGCCTCGGGACCGACAGGAACGAGCGCGACGTTTTCCGCCACTGGAAGTCGTCGCGCGGCTACGTCGGCATCGTCACGCACCCGGCCCTGCCGGCCGCCGTGTCCATCATCAATACGCCCGCCGAGCAGGCGCCCGACAACTACCTCGTTGACTACAAGGGCCCCTTCGTTGTGCGCTACGAGCACTACGGCGCCCCCAGCAACCTGTACCGCGTCCTCATGTTCGGCGAGGACGGCTTTACGGCCGAGCAGGCAAAGGCCCTGACCCAGACCTCGTTCGACAAGCTCGTCGCCAAGGGCGTCGTGCCCGCCAACGCGACCGGCGAGCCCGTCAAGTTCGTCGCCTTTTCGGACCACCGGCAGATGCACCTGCACTTCTCGCCCGAGGAGCTCAAGGCCGGCTTCATCCAGAAGCAGTACGCGCTCCAGGGCTACCGCTCGACCTTTTACACGGGCGCCGCGTGGACGGCGCAGTTCACAAACGCCGTGTGGACCTTCAACGATGAGATCTTGCCCAAGGTGGTTAAGGGACTGAAGAAGTAGAGGTGGATGTATATGTATATATGAAGACGTGTATATGAGAAGATGTGTAGATAATATTCCTGAATATCCAAAATTCGTCTATGACAAAAGATGCGCCCATTGAAGAGACATTACCTCTCACAGCTTCCCGGCGGCCTTGAGGCCGTCCTCGCTATCCATCAGGATGCACCAGCCTCCATGGCCTGTGCCCCCTTTGCCCGCAAGCACGGCCCCGAAGTTGGCCTCCTCGCGGATATACCTGAGGGACCTTTCGTCGAAGGATCCCGGCTGCAGCCAGACTGCGGGAATCCGAAGCTTGCACGCCTCCTTTAGGATCTCGATGGTGACGTCAGGGTGCGTGATTATGGACACGGAAGTGTCGGTGAATTCGCTTGCTGGGAGGCTGGAAAGGCTCGGGACGGCATCGTGGAACTTTTCCAGAGCTTCGATCGTCTTGGATTTCGTGTTGATGGGAGTTACAGGTAGTGATTGTTGGAGATACCAACAGAGAACTGACAAGGGTTGTGTGACGGAAAGTAAACCATTGATGAGTCTGTCTCGTTTAGGAACCCTCAAATCTCATGTTGAATATGATCTCACCTTTGTTTCCATACTTGTCGGGGTCTGAGCTGGCGCCGACGACGGCGAAGCGGGACGAGGAGAAAAATTTGCGGACCGCGGCTTTTGAGTTCATTTGATATACAATGTGAAGACGCATCAGGATAAAGATGTGTAATGACTAGACGGAAACCAAAGTAGAGCAAGGGGGCCGGGGCCGTGATATTAATACAATGGCGGGTTTTCGGGATTGGGGACATCAGGGCCAGGACCATGGCGGCTTGCTGCTGGCATTTGCGCGATCCTCCGCCGCAGTGCAACCTAGAGCGGCAACGACCCCGCGATTGGCTGCTGCGGCGTCGATGTCCCCTCGCTAGTATTCGCCTTGTGAGCGTTGTAGGTATTCGTCAAAAATTGCGGATGGTCACACTGCGAACTACTTCAGGAATGAATGATTTGGAATAGTTACCCTCTCTAGTCCCCGAGACTCTCCATTACGCCAGGGCATTGGAAGCCGAGCCAAATGACGTCTCTCCATTTCTTCAACTCGTAGCGTGGAAATGACGCCGAAAGCCAAAGGCACGTGTCATCGCGTTGCGGGAAGAGGTGTGGGGGCAGAGTCAGTTGTGGACCCTGACTAGGACCATCTGGTAGTCGCGTTGCCCCGGCAGCGGCAGTCGCAGCCTTGAACCCTGCACAGCGCATTGGGGCACAGACCACACAGGGAGGAGATTGGGATTGAAATTCCGCTGGTTGGAAGGACGCCCCTTTGCTCCCAAGAAACACACCGATACCTCCGTCCTGACGCTTCTCAACGCCGTGATACATCCTTCGAACCCTTCTCGACCGCATCACCGTCTCCGATACCCCATCGCCTCACTATCGCCCAACAGCTAGCCCTAGGGTCCTACGCAGTAAATACAGCAAAATGGTGAGTGGTCAGACCTCGGCGTCCCCGCAACCGCTTTGGTGTAAACAAGCACCGCCGCACCACACTGCCAAACCGGGTTTCTTGCCCCTCGTGCCACCACCCAGCCGGGCGTCCTAGCGCACGCTGGGTCGGCCAAGTTCCTGTGCCCAGTTTTTCTGGTCTTTTGCGACAAACAACAGCAAACTGCGCACCGTATAAAGCCAGACGTGATCCGATCAGCGGCGCACCGCATCCGATAAAGACCAAATTCTGGCCTTCAGCGCAGCGCTTGTTTCAAATCGCCACCTTTCCCAACACCAGGCAATCCTCGGCACCCAACTCGTTGAACTCGGCGCACCGCACCGTCTCTCTGCAACAAACCACCGAACAACCCAGGACCGAATCTGAATCATGGCTTCTAACCATTTCGACGGACAGGCTTCGACCGACTATAAGGAGGCTTTCTCTCTGTTCGACAAGAGGGGCAACGGCCGCGTCGCCGTTGATGCCCTGGGCGACCTGCTGCGGGCCTGCGGGCAGAACCCTACGCTAGCCGAGATCCGGGAGCAGGAGAAGGTTGTTGGTGGCGCCGACTGTGAGTCGCATTCCGAGGGGCCCTTGGCGGCTGGCCGCGAGACAGGCTACGAAGGAATCCATTCTAACCAAGCACCCACAAACCCTGTACAGTCGACTTTGAGAGCTTTCTGAAGGTCCTGAACCGACCAGGCGGCTTCCGTGGCCCCGGCGAGGCCCGTGACTACTACCCCGGTTTCGAGGTCTTCAACAAGAACGAAGATGGCCTGATCGAGGTTGGTAGCATGAAGTACATGCTGCAGAACCTGGGGGAGAAGATGACGGACGCCGAGTTCGACGAGCTCATGAAGATCGCCAAAGTCGAGACCCGCCCCGACGGCAGGCGGCTGGTTGACTATGTTGGTAAGCACATATCCACGAGTTCTCGTCCTTGACGCCCTTAGATTGCGTGGAAACATAGCTGACGGCCCTGGCTGGGAACAACAGACCTCATCAATGTCGTGATCAGCAACTAGACCACCTTTGTGAGCGAGTGGCAATTTGCGGCAGCATCTATCTACAAAGTCATTCATTGGCGGATGTCAGATTTTTCCAGCATGCTTGCATTTGGCGAGAAGAGCATTGTACAGTCGTGACTCTAGAGTTGCGACAAGTGTCCAGCCAAAACGGCGAGGACAAGGCGTTCGGGAGGTTGTTTAGTAGCACTGGAGTTACAATTTGTATGGATGATGATTGGGTTTAATGACAACGGGGGTTGGATCCCCTAGCCATTGGCTCCGGACCAGTTGGCACTTCGCGCGCGTAGAGACAGCAGCAGTCGAACATGATGGCCCCTTGTGCTGTTTCTTTCACATCTCCCTGTGCCAGTAGTCATCTCATGTGGCCCATTGGCATAGCTAACCCCGCAAATTCGACCGGGCACTATGTGAGTGTAGGTGCCCGGTTGTCAGCCTAGCTGTGCCTGTCTTCTTGTCCCGCCGCCGAGGCGACGTTTCGTGGTGCCGTGGACCGACTCCGAGCTGCGGCAGAAGTGCGGGGCACGCACCAGCCCCAGGTCGGGCGGAATGAACAGGCTGGGCGCTCAGACGAGGTTGCCCTGCGAAAGGTAAGCCACGACCCAACCAACACTCGCCGCCTAGCACCTGCACTAGTTGTCGTCCGTCACATCCGATTTCCAGGCATTGAAATCCAATCGTGATTCAAACATTCTCGCCCTGCATCTGACTCGCCGCAGTTCCTCTCGACCCGGGCGGCGATTCGAGAAGGCCAAGCAATCGGACCAAAGACCTGCAGGCTGCCACGAGCCATCGCAAGCCGCCCAGACAGACCCAGACCCCTCCCCTCCGCCCGCCTACACCCCTCACCTTCCTCCCTTGCAACCTGGGGCAGCAGCCTTCCTTCAACCTGGCGTCGATATCAAGGAAGCGCATCTCCTTTCTCTTTCTCTTCTCTTTCCTGTGCTTCGTGCTCTCCATCGTCATCCTGTCGACCCCACTCTTCTACCCGCGCTTCTCAGCGCTGCTCTTCCGCTTCCGCAACCACTCGCCCTTCGCTCACAAGCGGCCCCCGAGTGCCGGTCTCTCAACAACCACCAGGTTAACTCTAGCTTCCACGGCGACGAGCCGCCCCACAAAGTCCTACCGTCCCATCCTCTCGCACCCAACCAGCATGGCGCTCGACAAGTACAAGACGCCGCCTCAGGCGCCGCCCACCTTCACGGGAACCAAGGACAGCATCGTCGCTGACTCCAAGGGGCTGTGCGACACCACCCGGGCGTTGCTCGACAAGCTCGTCGCCGAGATCCCCGTCGATGATAAGTCCAAGACGACCTGGAACGCTGTCATGGAGCCCCAGGCCGAGGACGAGAACCACAGCGCCCTGTCCTCCCGCATCCTGGGCTTCTACCAGTACGTCAGCGCCGACAGCGCGCTGCGCGACGCCAGCACCGAGGCCGAGAAGATCATAGACCAGTTCAGCATCGAGTGCAGCATGCGCGAGGACGTCTTCAAGCTCGTCTCTGCCACCTACGAGGCCTATGGTGGCAAGGACGGTCTAAACACCGCTGCAGGAATCAGCGGCGAGCAGAAGCGCCTCCTAGACAAGGACCAAAAGGGTTACATCAAGAACGGTCTCGGCTTGCCTGCCGGCCCTAAGCGTGATCGCTTCAAGGCCATCAAGGAGCGCCTCAGCGAGCTGACCATCAAGTTCCAGAAGAACTTGAACGAAGAGAGCGGCGGCGTCTGGTTCTCGCCCGAGGAGCTCGACGGAGTGCCAAAGGACACCCTGGACACGCTCGAGAAGGGCACAGGAGAGCACGACGGAAAGCTCAAGATCTCTTTCAAGTACCCCGAGCTGTTCCCCACGCTGAAATACGCGACCAACGGGGAGACCAGGCGCGCGCTGTTCATTGCTAGTGAGAATAAGTGCAACGACAATATCCCGCTCTTCCGCGAGGCCGTCCTTCTTCGGGACGAGGCTGCACGCCTGCTAGGCTACCCGGACCATGCCACGGTACGCATTGAGGACAAGATGGCCAAGACCCCCAAGACAGTCAACGACTTCCTGGGCGACCTGCGCAAGCGCTTGGCCCCTGGCGGTGTCAAGGAGATAGATCACCTTCTTGAGATCAAGATGAAGGACGCCGAGGGACGGGGCGTCAAATTCGACGACAACTACTATCTGTGGGACCACCGGTTCTACGACACGCTCATGATCAAGGACGAGTACGGCATCGACGGCAACAAAATTGCCGAGTACTTTCCTCTGAGCAACACCATTGCTGGGATGCTCAAGATCTTTGAGCACCTCTTTGGGTTCGTCTTCGTGGAGTTGACTCCTGAGGACCGGGCGCGCATCAGCCCGACTGAGAAGGGCGAAGACATCGCGTGGCATGAGGATGTCAAGATCTTCAGCGTCTGGGACGACGCGACTGAGGGCGAGGGCTTCGTGGGCTACCTGTACCTGGATCTGCATCCAAGGCAGGGCAAGTACGGCCACGCGGCCAACTTCAACCTCCAGCCAGGCTTCGTGAAGAAGGACGGGTCGCGTCGCTACCCAGCGACCGCGCTGGTCTGCAACTTCAGCAAGCCAACCGCAACCAAGCCTAGCCTGCTGAAGCACGACGAGGTCGTGACTCTGTTCCACGAGCTAGGCCACGGCATCCACGACCTGGCCGGCCGCACCCATTACAGCCGCTTCCACGGCACGTCGACCGTCCGCGATTTCGTTGAGGCACCCAGCCAGATGCTTGAGAACTGGTGCTGGACTCCCTCGCAGATCAAGTCCCTCTCGAAGCACTACGAGACCGGCCAGCCAATCCCTGACGACCTGATCGAGGCACTTATCAAGACCAAACACGTCAACGCGGCGCTTTTCAACCTGCGTCAGCTCCACTTTGGCATCTTCGACATGACTGTCCACACCCCGACGTCTCACGACGAGTTGGAGAAGATGGAAATCAGCGGCCTCTACAATGACCTGCGGGCCCAGATCAGCGGCATCAAGGGGCCTGAGGCGCTAGGTGAACCGAGGTAAGTCCCGTGCTACTACTCTAGAAGCCTCATTGCCCCCATTTCAAGATGCTGACAACTTCACCCCTAAATACAGCACCTGGGGCCATGGCCAGGCCTGCTTCGGTCACTTGATCGGAGGCTACGACGCCGGCTACTACGGCTACCTGTCTTCGCTTGTCTACTCCACCGACATGTTCTACAGTGTCTTCCGCAAGGACCCCATGAACGGCAAGGAGGGAAGGCGGTACCGCCACACGGTCTTGGAGAAGGGCGGATCCCAGGAGGAGATGGAGACGTTGAAGCAGTTCCTCGGCCGCGAACCCAGCACTGAGGCGTTCTACCAGGAGCTTGGCCTGGGCGGTGACTCTCAGAAACTTTGAAAGCCGAAATACCCAGTCTAGAAACACTGGACATTTCTCGAGCACGTAGAAAACATCATCTAGCACGTAAAACGTGGGGCTTACAGTGCATTACAATACAGCATCCAACACTTGCACTTCACAACGCCTACCCCAGAACGCCTAATAACGCCGACGCGAAAGCAGTGGAGTCTTACAGGTCCCAAAGATCAAGTAAAATTGTTGGTACGGTAAGCTTTCCTATGTGAGCTTCTTTTCCTTATTCTTTTTCTTATTCTTTGGTATTCCCGCTTTTAAAGGAACTTTCTTCCAGATTACCAATTCTCATCCCCGTAACGTCTACTAGCAGCCTCCTCTTCGATAAATCACCACTAGAAAAGTCCCTCCAAGGCCTTCGCCCATTTCTGGAATCCCACCCACAGAAACCATCTCCCGTACTTGAGTTTGACCTGGGTCTCTCGCCGATGCCTGATTGCCTTAATCGCTCGCCCGCACGTTCGCCCCCGTTTGCTCCTCTGACCTGGCCTGCCCTTTTCATCTGTCTCCCGGAATTGGCGTATCCTTTTCAAGCTCTGCCGCATTTTACTTTCTAAATGACCCGGCAGCCACCAGGCCGCGCCTTCCCGCTTGCATTTCCGTCGCATGGATTTCACTCGCTTTTCCATCACTGCGTCGATCCTTTCCCTCCTAATATTCGCCAACCTTTTCATTGCTCCCCGTGACCGCGGCCGAGATGCGATAAAGGTAATCCTTTGTGCGCGATGGACATGGAAAATGTAATCCAGGATTCTCTGGGCCGTTCTGAAGTGCTCTCCGATAACTTGGCTGAAAGCCCCAACGTGTCGATGTTGCGGGTCGTCCTCGGCAGTTAAAGGCAACACGACGTCGACGGCGCCCCACCAAAGATCCCAGAAGCATATAGCCGAGCTTCTGCCCTTGCGAGTGTATAGAGAGGTTCGACGGTGTTTCCAGCGGGCCAGTCGGTACTGCTGCAAAATGGCCTCGAGCTGCCTGGCCGATTCCTCGTCCTCCTCGCGCATCTCGGCCCGCTCCTCCTCGTCTGGGCAAGCGCGGCGCCGCAGAAGCCTCGCGTCCCCGGAGCCCATCCGGCTGAGGCAGCAGGTGTGCGCCATGTCTAGCCTGTCGAACAGCTCCAGACGGCAGGCCTGCAGGTAGTACTCCTCTTGATCCATGCCTGACATTTCGCACCAGCGCCCCCACCGATGCAGGAGCCGATTTCTCGACCGGCGCATGGTCGCCGCGGTCACTCTGGCCAGTCCGTCCCCGTGGACGCTCGGCGTCGGGGTCTTGCCGGTGAGCATCCTGAACATGCAGTGCGGCCGGCACCCCTCGGGCGAGCAGCAGCCGCGTGAGGCGCACGACCCCCGGGTGGAGCACTCCGGGCTGGAGGAGCAGTAGCAGACGCAGCCGTCCGCGACCGTCGCGTCCGGCGGTGTGAGGGTCGCCTTGGCCCGCAAGGCAAGTTGCGTCATTGCCTTGGGTCGGTTTATATTCGCGGTGTGTTTGAGGTGCTCGATCCCTAGCAGACCGGCGATCTGAAACTGCGCGCCGGGGTAGGACTGGTTCTCCAGGACGGGCCCGGCCGGGAACGCCCTGTTTTCGCCGTGGCGTAATAGCCAAAGACTGATGTGGGTGTCCGGCATGTCCAACGGCTTGGGACACGGTCGCATGCACCACTTGAATAGAATCGTTTCCCCGGAGCCGTCTGGGGCGTCGACGTCGTCGAAGCCGGCCTGGAAGAGTGGATCAAGGGAGCAGGAGTCTGCATACTCAAACCATCTATATGGATCAACCCTGAGCAAAAATTCGTACGTCGAGAATTCCGAGTGGCAAATGAGATTTTCTGGGACCTTTGCCGCGTAGTAATCGCCCGTTATCGTTTCGAAGACCTGCGCCGAGTGCCGCACAAGGAGCTTGCCCGGGCGCAGGCCGTATTCCGCGCAGTGGTCGGGCTCAAGGATTTTGAGGGCGTAGTCGTTTAGCATCCTCCGTCGGCTAGCCAGCTCGACAGCGGCTGCCTGGATGGCCTCGCACCCCGAGCTCGCTGCGACCTCGAGGAGGGACGGGGATTCTCGCGGCGAGAATATGGCAGTTGGGGTCCTGAGGATCCTGCGCAGCCCCTCTGGATCCCTTTGTAGCAAGCTCAGGTAAAGGGCCGGGCGGATCTCACAGCCCAAGCCGACCACATACTCAAGACCATCTGGCCAACCGAGGGCCATCTCTGCTGCGGACGCGTTGTAGTACTGGTCCGGTCCCCAGCCAGGGGTCCTCTCTTCGTCAGTATCCATTCCGAAAAAGACCTCCGTTTTTAGTTGCTGTTGATCGAAGGATTTTAGCCGGCTCAGATCTTTCGGAGAATGGCCAGCCATCAGGAGAACTGTCAGCTCCGACAGCTCACCCTCGAGATCTGCAAAGTTTTTTTTTCCGACCAGGTCAGAACTTCTCCCGCAAGACTGAGTCGGGAAAGACGATATCCTTACAGATTCGGAGATCAGGATGTTGCCGAAGGTAATGGCGCCGTTCGTAAGGACTGGCCGCGGTCCAGCCGCCACGGCCACACGCGTCGAGAGCACTCAGCCCTCGCATGGCATTATATACTTGGTGCCCGTTTCCGTCTCCCCACGCCGAGGCCTGTATCTCGAGCGCCCAGGCTATTTCTAAGGCACCATAGCCCTGGTACACTCCCTGCTCTTCCGCGGGGTCCACGCCGTATCTGCACAGGAGGTGGGCAAGCGCGACTGCCTCGTGGAATACCCGCACGCGAGGATCGCGCATGTCGCTCGTGGATGTACCATTCCTCAAGTCCTCCAGCAGACGCCAAACGCACTATTGCACAGCTTAGTTACCACCTGCAAAGCTCCACCAGATTTGATCGTCACACTCACATCCCAAACAGTAACATCTGTCCATTCCAGTTCAATGATCTCATAGAACGACGTTGGCCTTTTTTGGAGACACTCCTCCAAGCCTCTGTGCAGCTGCTTCAGTTTGCTCATGACAGCCTCGACGGAAGTTGGATCCCGCGATTCATAGCGGGGAATGTCCTTGTATGCGTCAAAAAGTCTGTAGACCGGAGAGTCGACAGCCCTGACCCTCGGTACGACCCTGATTGGAGGGGCAAGAGACCAGCCGCCGGCGCCGGACGTGGCGCCCAGCGTGAGCTGAATGGCCTTGTTGAGAAAAGGGGCGAGCCGGAAGGACAGGGAGTACCGCCACGAGCTCGGCGCGTTTCTGGGGCAATCTGGCAGGTGCCTGGCGCTTCTCTCGGCCTCGAAGCGCAAGATGCCGCCGGCCGCGGATCGGGTCTCGACCGAGGGCCGGCACCAACACCGCATTTTCCGGCGCCGGGACTCGGTCCGGACGCCGTCGCACGCCTCGCCGAGCGCGCTGGGGTAGCGCCCAAGCTGCCACGCAGCCTGCTGGGCGAGCGCATCTTTGTCTTTGGCTCTGGGTTCGGGGCCACCTCCAGGGCCGGAGTGGTCGGTTGCGACAAGTCGCTCTAGCATCGAGGCCGGGTCCGAGGACGAGCCCGCGGCTCGCTGCAGCATGGCCAGGCCGCGATCCTGCTTAAGGCTCATGAAGAACCCGAGGGTCAGCAGGTCGAGCTTGCGGTGGACGCTTTCGGAATGGTAGGCAAGCTCGCTGTCGATGTGGGTGCGGGTCTGCCTGAAGCCGGAGTCGAGCCCGTCCTGGATCGCCGTGGTAGCAGCCCTGGTGGCTTTGACGTCGGGGCCGATGGTGTCCTGGGCGAAGCTGAGTGTTCGAGCGACATGTTCTCTATCAATGGCAGCGACATCAGCAGGAGAGACAAGTGGCGCGTCCAGGCGACCACGAACCTGATCAAGCCTTGCGACTCTGCCAAGATGACCTGCAGCTCGCCTTTGACCTCTTGATCCAGACGGTCCAACCGGACGCGCTCGGCCCGCACGTCGTCGCGCATCTGCAGGTAGAGAGCCCGGTTCATGGTTCGCTTGAAGGCGCCGCGCTTGCGGTCGTTTTGTCCCTTCCCGGCAGTCAGCACCTCCAGCCTGCCGACGAGGCTCTCGGTGGCGGCGTTGAACTCGGCGATCGGGCGGTAGAGGCGGGCGTGCTGCTCGGGCGTGAGGTCGCTGGTGATGGACGAGAGGCTCCCGATGCGCGCGGCCGCGTGCGTGAGGTCGTCGACCATCTCGGACGCCTCCTTGGGCGCGTCCTTGAGCTCCCTTATCAGCTTGGCCGCGCCCAGGATCGACTTGGCCGCCACGAGGCCGAGCTCGAGCCCGGCCGTCGCGACACCGAGGGCGCTCAGCGGATCTGCCATGGTGGTAGCTGTAGCGAGCCGCCGCTGTCGAGGGCCAACAGCGAACACGGAAGAGCGTAAGGGAGAGTCATGTTTGTCGCGAGAGGAGGGCCGGCGGGAATAGGTGTAGGCAGGCCAACTTCCCGTGGCTGAGCCTCCGAGGGGCGGCTGAGCGCCAATGTGTAGCCGCCCAAGGCGGGCGGGGAGCGGGGATGGCGGGTAGGCGACGAATCACCAACGGCTGCAGACGTTACTTGGTGCCGCCCGCACCCATAAAACCCATTGCTGCCTGCCAGGGGTTCTGCCTGCCAGGGGTTCTGCCTGTGATGTGGCGATGCAGTTGAATTTGTGTCCATTAAACATGCGGCAAGCGGGGGACGCCAGGGCCGGCCCGCCATGCTACTACGCTCCGGGTCGTGGGTATTAGAATTGTTGATGTGCTGGGACAGCCTTTCGCAAGAACAGCCATGAGAAATAGGAAACGGAACAAATAAAACTAGGAACAGGAATAAGTAAAAGGGTACGAAAAGGAAGAAAACAAAAATAAGAAAAGAAATTGATAAAGTATACGAAAATGAAGAATTTACGATACTAATAATTTTAATCCCTAAAACGTATATCATAAATCTACTCCACACAATCGCCTAGTGAGCAAATATGAGGGTGTTGGTTGTCACCCGAGCACCAGAGATGACCATATCGGTCAGCAAGCACACTGGGATTGATGCATGTGGCACGTGCTCGATCGCACCGAGGTGCCTTGAAGACAGCGTTGAAAACCCCTCATTTGTGATGACCAATACAGGCATCAAGCCCCCGTACAGCCCAACCCACCTGGCTCCTTGCCTGCGCTGCCCCGAAAACTTCCACTTGGTAACTTCCACTTGGTGTGAAACCAGCAGACATTATTATGGCGACAAGAAACTCTCCAGATCTCCCAGCTCTCACGGGCCCTCCACTGAAGCCAGGTAAATACGTCAAGCTCTCTGTCCATTTCAAGAAACGACCCGACATCTCGGACGAGTACTTCTTCACGTACTGGGCCAACAACCACGTCTCGGCGTTCCTGGCCACCACTGTCGGCCACGGAAAAATCAAAGGCTACAGCCAGGTATGTCTCGCTTGCTTGACATGCCACACAAAAGAGAAGAAAAAGAATGGCCTCCACTCACAGCCAACAACCCGCCCCCTGGTAAACAGCACCACGTCACGGCCGAGATGAAGGAGATGGCCAAGGGCCTGGGCATGCCGGTCCTGGACTGCGACGGCGTCTCGGAGCTCTGGGCAGAGTCCGCCGAGGACTTCAAGGGGCTGTTTGAGCTGCCCGAGGTGCGCAAGATAGCGGCGGACGACAACCCCATCTTTTCCCTGCCCCCGGACTCGGTCGTCCTGGGGTTCGACCACGTCATCTGGGACCGCAGAGAGGGCACCAAGGAAGGGACGGAATGAAGATGCATCTAATATGTCTAGGCAAGGCCGCTTCTGGTGAATTCTACGACAGTTCTTGGGTCTGGGATATGCATGCATATGAGATCAAGTATCAGCTAGGTACGCACTAGGTCCCACCAACCTGCCCAGTATCCTTCCCGTCGTTCCCACTGCTGTCGTTTGTGAAGCCACTAAAGTCACTCGAGTAAGTCCCGTCCTCTCGAAGCCATTGGAGCTCAATGCTAACAGCCCTCTGCATAAGGTTCCTACCATTGTATGTCTCTCGCTGCACTATCGTTGCCTGTGCTCGTGCCGGGACAATTCCCCCCTCGCCATACGGGCCAAGGCGGGCTTCTATAGGCAGCCAATCGCTGTCGTCGCCGTCTTTGAACACTTTAAAGGACGACCAGCCCGGGAGCCTCGAGAGACTGTCGCTGCGGGAAAGGCGGTCGAAGTCGGCCTTGACCCCTTGCCACTCGTCGGTCGAGTAAAGACGAACCCAGGACTCTCCCCGGTCATCCAGGTGGAAGACGATGTGGAACGAGGCCGTCATGATGGCGCCCCCCGCCCCGTCCGTCCTGTTGGCGAGCTCAACCTTTGCGTACCTCAGGCCGACCCCCACGAAGCGCCTGGCGGCCACGTCCCAGTACTGCGGCGGCGCCGCCTGGGCCACGTGGAGCTGCCATGGCGGAGTACCCGAGGTCAGCTCGACCCAGTCCGTGTCTTCGGTGTAATCTTCGAGGTCCCCCTTCCAGATGTCCATGTAGGCGTCGAACGTCAGGATGTAGAAGTCTTCCGTCAGCCCCATCTGGCCGTCCGCACCGTCTCCCGTTATGACGCATCGGGGTAGGGGTCGGTAGTCTGAGATCCGCATATAAAGTGACGGCGCGACCCATTCGAGAACCATGACGCACTGCCTCGGGTTGGTGACTGTCGCTGTGCAGTTTAGTTCCAGTATGTAGTATGGTTTTGTGAAGCCGATGCTGCTGCAAGGGATGAGATAGGCGTTCTGGACAAGCAGGCCTCTGTTGGTGACCGAAAACGTGGCCTGACTCCACCTCTTATCCATGAACGGGTTCGGTGGCCAGAAATCGCGCGAGCCGTCAAACGCGCTTGGGGATACGGGTAGCACATCCCAGCCATACCAACAGAGCTTTTTCGCATAGTTTGAGCTTGAGCAAAATATAGACATGTCATTGGACCGCTTCAGTATCTCCTCCTGCAGCCGTTGGAACGCCTTTTGGCCTTCGCCATAGAGCAAGGGCATGTTGATGTCGAAGATTCCCATGAGGCAATAAGCCACATCTTCGACCCGGGTGGTTCGCCTTTTCGAGGCCCACGACATCCTCTCGGCCACTGCCACGTCTTGCAACGCGCGGGCCCCCCGATTCCGGAAGAAGGACCCGTCCCCGAAGGTGAGGTTGCGGATGCCCGATGCCTTGGCGAGAGCCGACTGTAGCGTCGCGTGTGACCCCACCTTCTTCCAATGCCGGTTGTAGAACTCGATGGCCACGGGTGCGATCAGCTCCTGCAGGGTCCAGCCGCGCGTAAACCACCGACAGCGGCCCAACGCTTCTTCCAGCTCGGTAGGTTCCGAGTAGGAGGCGAGGTCGGATTCGGGGTCCAAGTCAAGGTCGGCAAGGAAGACGAAGCAGACTTTGGCCCGGTTGTACCACCTGTACATGGAGTTGATGGCTTCGCTCAGTTCGGCGCTGCTGCTTTTGTCGATGCAGCAGGTGTCAACCCAGGCCCAATCGATATTGCGTTCTCTGGCCAGACGGCAGATGCGGACGATTTTTTCGTGGCCTGGCCGACGTCTGACGATATCAGATATCAGGCTTTGGCAAGGGCAGGCGCATGTGCAGACCCCCTCAGAGTTTGTAGAGTCGCCTCTATCTAAGGCACCGCCGTAGCGGGCCATCTCCTGGAAGTCGACCTCCTCGCCCTCGACCCAAGTGTGCGACAGGATGGCGTACTCCGGGACGGATTCGCCAAAAAACATCTTCATCTGCAACGTCTCCGTGTTGATGAGCCGGATCGCCATCCTTGCTTGCCTGTTTGGGCTCGAGCGGGTGTGTAAACCCGTTCTTTCTGCCGCTGCGATGTCGGGAGTAGCTGTCTTGACCGTGGCTGCGTGGAGAGATAGGTATGCAGGCACGCAAGCAAGAGCAAGGGCGAGAGCATGTCAATGCTTGGGGGTGTTGCTGGAAGCAGGCCGGCATCCAGGCGCAGCTAGCTGATAAAACCTGGCCCCGCGCGGGGTCCTTGGTCAGGCTGCCGCCAAGCAGAGGGTTGGCTCTCTGCCAACCCCGGTGCGCTACTATTATTGGTCACATTACCCCGATGGAATTGACCTTCCGGTCGGTTGAAAGGTAAAGGGCCAGAACTCGGGATCGGCGACACCATCGTTCGCCTTGACCAGGTAGAAAACATCCAAGTTATTCGGCATACAGAAGCGCGGCGTCCTGGCCAACCGAGACACAGGACTAACACCTAACCCCTGAGACGTTCGTGCGTGGGTTGCGCCATCCCTTATCCCTATAGCCCCCGCCAGACCTCTGAGCTCGTCCCCCTCCTTTTCGTTCTCGTCCCCCCTGCATGCCGTTCTCGGCACACGGGAGAAGCCCCCTCGCCCTTCTATATGCTGGTGGTGTAGTAGCCGGGCCGCCGATGCTACCAAGCTTAGTACTGGCCGGCCGACGTCGGACTGTACATACCCCTCCGCAACACGCGGACGGCGCCGCGCCGCTCCGCCATGCAGCACCGCCGCCTTCGTGCCCACCAGCAGGCTGGCCGGCACGTCGGTCAGGATCAGACCGGGAAAAAGCCCACCGCCGTCGCCTCCCTGGCCGACAGTCGCCCGAAGCGCTGCACCAGCGGGAGTGGCTGCCCGCCCGTGTGCTGAGCGGCCTGTTCCCGACATAGGCTGTCCTATCGGTAGCAGTTCTTACCACTGGGATATGGAATAAGCCGAATGATTGGAGATGGATGCTTCCACGATGGTTTGGTCGCCAATCTGCAGTTGATGTTTGGGGCCAGAGCCACAAGGATTCACGATTCCTCCAATGATATAATCGTCCTCCCGACCGACCTGCCACCCTACCTTTGTTATACAGGCAACAAGATGCTGGCCCGATCCTCGTTCTCGCGGCCTTGCCAGCGCTCTATTGATTGGCTTGCGGCAAGCTACGACGCACCTTCGCCCGAGTTTGCAGGATTAGATGACATGCCGACCCAATGCATATCTACCCAATTCACACATGGGATGTCGTCCCCAGTCGCCCGCCCGCCCGGTCCACCCGCCCGACTGTTAAACATCCCCTGCTCCGCCCTCTTGCCCTCTTGTCGCCGGGCCCATAGCTCCTCCTCCCTCGGAAGCACGCGCCTTGTTCCGCTTCAAGGAACCGGGACGACGTCAAACCGCCCATGATGGGTAGCGGCCCGAGCTCCCCACAGCCCGAACGCGTAGTGCTTCTCGTCACCACCCCCCTCGCCGCGTCGGTGAACAGCGTTCTGGCCACCTTCGGTTGCAAGGTTGCAAGACTCACGCCCGCCCTTTCCGACTGGCCGCAGGGTTCCCCACCCGGAGTGACGGAGAACTTTTGCTTCGCCCGCCACATGGCCGTCTGCCTCATCCCGCTTGAGGTTTGGGAGAACAAAGACGTGCCCTTCCCTGCCAAGTTCGCGGCCGGGAGCTTCTGGGAGCACCTCGGGAGCGCTCTTAGCGAGTCCTCAAGCAAGCCCCCCAGTGCTGGCCGGAATGATGGCGGCGGCGGGACGTGGGCTTCGGAAAGCATCGAGTCCATCGAGGCGGTCCAGCGGCTTGGAACCACCCACATGTCTGATAGCGAGATTTATGAACAGCGTATGTAGTCCAAGGGTGTTTTTATCACTTCGTTTGGCTTGTTGGCTGACATTATGTTACTCAGTATTCGTAGGGTTGTTCCAGGATTGGGTGTACCTCCCCATCTGGTGGAACTGTCAAGATTTTGCCGCTAGAATGGGTTATCTCCTGGACCCGAAGGCAAGTAGTCTGCACGTTCTCAAGTCCTTGTTAGATCGGCTCAAGCAGAGTATGGCCACAGAAGTGGTCGATACGCTACTCAAGGGCACATCGATGGCCTCTGGGCTTGGGGCCTTTGCAGCCTTCCTCTTGGCTCCGCCGTTAGGTTTGGCCTACGCTTCCGTCTGTTCCATGAGCACCCAGGCTTATATGCAAGAGCAGTACGTGGATCGGTCAAGGAAGGAACTATTTATGAGAAAGTTGGAAAGCCGGTTCCCAAAGTTACGGGAGCTTCATGGTTAGATGCTCGGGTTTTATCATTGGCAAATCACGCGTGTTTTCGTGAGGATCTTTTCGAAGTAGCCAGTTGCACTAGCATTGGTGAAAATGCCAAGGAGAAAAAAACCAACGCAACCAAACCTTTACTGTTCGTGACCTGTCAATGCTGGCCCCATCCTAACACCTCGCAAGGCCTGTCGAGCTCTCGGCAGGGTTTGCCGTCAGTTCAAGATCAGGAAAATGATCCGCATAGCAAAGGTAGTTCGCCGAGTCCACCGCCTCTCCAAAACCTGGCTCCATGTGCGCGTTCTCCTGGAGCAAAAGAAGGCCTGGCAAAAACTGCTGCGCACCAACAACATCATCCCTTTGGGGCGGCCGACGTGTGGGCTCACCGCCCAATTCGAGCCGAGGAGTACGACAAGGTCAAGCTTGGTAAACGCGACCATTACAGCAGAGCAGGCTAAGGTATTGCCATTGGGATCCAAAGCCTTGTAGTGCTTTCGGCCTAGCCCCCAGCATAGAAGGCGCCAGGGGGACGAGCATGAGTCTTGCCCAGTAGGGTGTTGGTGGTGGGGATCGGAGCACTGTGATGGCCATTGAAGGGCGCCTCGGTCGGAAACGGCGTGCCTCGTCCGGAGGTTTCTAAAGTCGGCAACCTGGATCGACTTGTCGCTGATGATTTGGATCGCTTGGACTCTGGTCTGGAGTGACGTATCCGATTGCCAAACGTTTCCGAGCACCACGCACAGGAGCGAACACGGGATAAAAAAGAAGTAAAAGCAAAAATAAAAAGAGTAATAAAAGTTGATCTATACCAAGTTGCGACTAGTCTCCTTCACAGGGCTACCAGCTACTTCCTCCAGGCCTTGTCCAACATCTCCTTGACCTTCATCGGCTTGATCTCGGGGAACTGGTCGTTGAGGAACTTGCCAGCCGGCTTCAGCTCAAACATGCCCTGCTCGAACCACAGACCAAAGGGGGCGCCCATGCTGTCCATGCCTTCCTTGGGAAAGATGTGATACAGCGGGACGTGAGCGGGCAGCTCCGTGGTCTGGCCGGTCTTGAGCTTCTCCACGCTGTCGTAGACCACGTTGAACTTGGTTCCTGATGCGGCCACCCGTCGTGCGTTAGCGGACACTAGCCAAGAACTCGCAAAGGGGTCGGTCTGGTGGGCAGAGACTCGGTGCGTGCCTACCTTTCGCATCCTCACCCAGACGGAGGAACTCGTTCCAGGTGAGACGGTCGCCGTACACGTCCGTCTCGGGCTCCCACTTGGGCAGATCCAGGCTGGCGGCGACGAAGCGGGCGACGTCGGCGGTGTGCGTAAAGTGCGCGGGCACGTCGCCGGACCCCGGCAGCGCGGCGGCGTTGTTTTCCATGTCTATCCAGAAGGGATAGTTTGGCATGCGGGAGAGGTAGGAAGGGACCTTGGGGAGGCCCCAGTAGTCCATGAAGTAGCCGTTGTTGAAGAGGGTGTGCTCCAGGGTCTTGGTCTTGGCCAGCTCCTCCTTGACCTCGAGCTTGCGGCGCGTGGAGCTGACCTGGGCGGCCATGCTGGGAGGCTGTTAGCATGTAGTCTGCCAGATTGGAGGGAAGCCAACAATTCCAGATAGCTGATGGAAAAAAAAACAGTGAGCGGCTTGCCTCTCAGTGACACTAATGCCCCAGCTGCTAGAGATGATGCGCTTCGTGGTGCTGGACTGATCCGCGGCGCGGATGAGCGCGATCTCGCCCGGGACGGTGCCGTTGACGAATTCGCTATGCATCGCGATGCCCGACACGACGGTGTGGATCTTGTTGTCCTCCAGGACTTTGGCCAGCGCGTCGGTGTCGGTGTAGTCCACCGGCAGCATAGACGCCCCCATCTCCACCTCCAGAGCAGGGTCGACCTGATGTCGGAGGAGTCAGTTTTGATCCGAGAGACAGAGGCGCGTTGGAACTAGGGGCCAGATATACCTTGCGTGAGAGGACTTTGACCTCGTGCTTGCCCGTGGCGACAAGGGCGTCGACGATGGCGCGGCCTATGTTGCCAGTACCGCCGGCGACAGCAACCACAACCATGATGGGCAGAGTTATTGGATAGAAGGTTGCAAGGGGGTGGATGTTTAGAGAGTAGATTGGTGCTATCGAGGCTGCCTGTCTTGCCCTGTGCTGGGGAATGCTAGTGGCATCTTTATCAGCTCTTTTATATTCAGGATGGCTGCCACCATTGCGCAATGCACCCCAGTTAATTCTTGGCGGGCATGGAGTTCGACCGCAGCATGTGCGGGGATGCGGTGCCGATTCGGGCTCCGAGGGAGCTGACCAAGCCTCGCACTTGCCTCGCACTTGACCCATGGCTAGCTAGCAGCGCTCTAACGGCGAGAACTGACGAATTGGGCCCTGGAGGGCCGCCTGACCAAGCCACAATTTGTGCTTGAGCAGAGGCGACCGATTGTCGCCATTCCGGTAGCTAACATCGCTTTTCGCGCCGAAGCCCCCGGACCGATGGATAAAAATCGTCTTTCCGCTCCGAAGCCTCCAAGCCTCTGATGCGGCCATATCAGCCCACGCCGCGTGGATTTCCAAAGCAGAGACTAGATTATTACAAATCAAATCTCGCCCGTGGTGTGGTGAGGAGTAAAAGCCCAAAGCTAGAACGGGTTCGAGTTCCAGCCCGAGATGGGAAATCAGAGATAGGATGACTTGGCGCTGCCAGCCCCCGCCGGAATGGCGAGCCCGAGTGACGGCACAACGAGGTAGGCATCGACAAGCGCGAATAGGGGCTGAGCGCCGACCAGAACCCTATATCGTCTCTCCCCTGGCGAGCATGTCGACAAACTGCGCGATCTTGCGCCGCCTCGTCTCCTCCCGCTTGACCGTCTCGATGCGCCACAGGATCGAGTAGCGCTTCGTCTTGCCCAGCCCCGCAAAGAAGGCGGCGGCGCCGCGCCCGTCGGCGTCCAGCGCGGCCTGCAGGTCCGGCGGCACCTCGACGTTGGCGCCCGACGAGTAGGCGCGCCCCCATCGGCCGTCCGCCACGGCCGTGTCGACCTCGGCCCGGCCTCGCGCGCGCATGCGGCCCGCGGCGGTGAGGCGCGCCACCTTTGCCACGTTGCGCTTGGACCAGAGGCTGCGGCGGCGGCGCGGGGTGAAGCGCTGCAGGTAGAAGCGCGCGTCGAGCGGCCGGACCTGGCTGTCGATCCAGCCGAAGCACAGGGCGGCGTCGAGGGCCTCGTCGTACGTGACGGTCGGCGTGTCGCAGCCCTTCTTGGCGAACTTGAGCCACAGGCCGGCCGTGTCGTCCGGGTTCTGCTCCAGCCACGCCTCGAACGCCCGGGCGTCGGGGAACATCATGACGGGTGGCGAGGGGGCGGTGGAGTCCCCGCCGCCCGTTAAGTTGGCGGCGGCGGCGGTGGCTTTGTTTGGCGGAGGAGTAGAGGCCGCGCTGGTCGGGGCTGGGGATGGAGACGACGCGACTGTTGCGGCCAAAGCCTTGGCCTTTTGGCTGGCAGCGGTCGCAGCTGACCTGGTTCGTCTCGTCTCAGGCGGCATGATGAGGTTGGGAGAGGGCAGATGAGCACGTTTTAGTCGCCACGCAAATGTCACGAAGCTACCGCACCCTGGTGGGCAGTGATGCCACCGCAGTATGAGCATGAGTGTCTGTCCTCCCAAGGCCAGTGCAATTTGATAAAGAAATAAATTCGCGGGAGAGCGACAGCTCCGCAAACTCCGAGCTTACGCCCTTGTCCAAGACAAGGTGCGCGCTTATATAATCAACACTTGCCCCTTTTGGAAGGAAGGGGTTGTTTTCAGGAGGGACAGCATCACCAAGTTCGACACTAAAATGATCACGAAAATCGGGCGATACGGTATCCAAGTTCTTTTACATAGGCAAGACTACATAAATCTTTTCTACCCATGCTAGCATTCTCGTCGCAGGAAAGTGGTAATATCCGAGGGCGTCCGAAAGCGAGATTAGTGGCCATAGCTCCAAGTTCCTACCAAAACTATCCGGGCAGGCGTTGTGAAAACACAATCAACTTTTCTTGATATCCTCAGGGTCTTCAAGCACGACATACCCCTTGGGCCTGCTCATGCGATAGCGCACAAACACCAACACCGACGCCAGGGCCGACATGGCGATGCAGGCGCCCAGCAGCCACAGGTGCAGTCCGTTCTGCCTCGGCCGCATCGACAGGTCCCCCGGCAGGCGCCGGTCGACGGACCGGAGGTGGCCTAGGAGGAAGCGCGGGATGACGCCGTCGTACAGCAGGGCGAGCGAGAAGTAGGCCGACAGGAACGGGTACGACAGGGCGCGCACGCGGTCCCAGCGGTGCGGCGGCAGCGCCTCGAGCTCCGCGGGCGCCTCCTTAGGGTACGGGCACCAGCGGGCGAGCACGAGGCAGCGGCAGCGCATGAGGCGCGGGCAGCGCGCCATCAGGACCTCGCAGGCGAGCGTCAGGGCCGCCACCAGCACGGTCCCGATGTACGCCACGTACTTTGTGACGGGCCTGGGCTGCGGGTAGGGACCGAGCCCGGGCGGGTCGAGCCAGGCGTCGAAGAAGGTGGGGTCGGGGCAGCCCGGGGCCAGCGGCTCGTTTCGGCTGCTGCTGCTGCTGCTGCTGCTGCGCCTGCGCCTGCCGAAGCACTCGGAGAAGGAAGGGGCATCCCGGCTGCGGGGGACGGCGGCGTCGGCGATCTGTAGCATCAGGGCGCGGGGGTCGGAGCCCGAGTTGGGGCCGAGCTCGACGACGCCTGCGGACTGGGGGCACAGGTCGCACTCCCAGGAAAAGGCGTTGGAGAAGCTGTGCATGGTGAAGGTGAAGTCGCGCCCGCTTCCGTCCTGCAGGTGGGTCTGGTTGCGGTCGATGGGGATGATGCCGTCATACTGCGGGAAATGGCACTGTGTTAAATTTTGTTTCGGAGCATGACAGCCAGAGATGGAAGCATACCGAAATAATGGCCAGACTCTTGAGTGCAAGCGTCTTTGTCAACTGATGGGGAACCAGGAAGGTGCCGGCAGAAATAACGGCCAGAAAAAGGCATGTTGAAAGAACGACAAGCCACCGGCTGGCGACAAGGAGTTGTCGATAGCAGGCTGCTTTGCAGCCGTCCGTCTTTGAACACGGCATCGTGAATTGATTCTGGTTCTCTCCAGACTCTATTCCGTCGCCTGTGTCCAAAACAATCGAGGGCGTCCAGCTAGCCATATATGTCAAGCCTTTTAGGCAGCCATAGCCTCAAACATGAAGGATTCTACCTAACCCCAATTTGGATTCGCCTAATCCCGACGGGATCAGCCAAGGCTCGTATCAAGTCAAAAATAGCACTTCGCACTCGGCGGCTCGCCGAGATCACGTGAGCCAACTGGCTGCAAAACCCGCCCCACTTGCCCCAGCAGGGGGCGTCGTTGTTGAGCGAGCCAGATTCGGCCGAAACTCCAAGCCAGTAACGTCCTTCGTGACGCAGTGGCCCACAGAAGGGTGTGTCGTATAGGGGTTAGTACACTTCGTTGTGGCCGAAGAAACGCAAGTTCGAGTCTTGCCACGCCCAGACCTTTTTGGTTGCATTTACTATTGTCGTTCGCCACGCCGTTGCGTTTGCTTTTTTCTGCGAATTAGCCTTAGGAGGGAGGACTGGTTGAAAAAGGATAAATACGTTGACGCTTTCTTTCCGTGGTGCATTTATGTGCCATCCAGGTCGCTAGCAGAGTGCGGATTTGCCCGACTCTTTTTGAACATTGACTTGTTCGTCATCAAGAGGAACCAGCGAAAGGAGTCCCTCACACGACGCCCAGCCCCGAATGAGCAACCCAGTGTGCACCACCCCGCCCTACATCTTTGCCTCAAATGCCGCCTGCTCCAGTTTCCATTAACCGGTTCCCAGTACCATTCACGGAACCAGAGGAGAAAGGGCGCAGGTCCCGAACCCTATAGCTGTTGACCGGCTCAAAGTAAAAGTTGACGCAGGTCTCGTTGGGCCGAGCTGTCGCCACCATATTGGAAATGGTGCACCTCTCGTCCGAGTAGAAGGAGACGCCTTGCACTCGCGTTTCGACATGTTCAGCACTAGGCAGCCAGTTGGACGACTGACGGCCACTTTTCCTTGGGGCAGCCACTCACAAGTCTGGTTAAAGTCGGCCGCCACGGTCGCCGACATGGACTGGTGGCGCCCGGCACCCGGGGCGACGGGGTAGCAGCCGTGGGCCGGCGGGTGCGCCATGGCGAGCTGCTTGCCGTGACACTGCTTCCCCGAGTAGAAGGCGATCTGGGCGAGCTCGTCGCTGCTGGCGGCGCCGGCGAGGGCCAGGGAGGCGAGGAGAGTGGGGGTGAGGAGAGTGGGGGTGAGGAGCTTCATGGCGGCTGATGTGCGCTTCGCTAGCGAGTGACAGACGTCGAGGGGTTGTTTCGCTCTGTCAGCGATGGGTTGGATTGTGCTGCGTGCTGCGATGCCCTTGGTATTGGTCGTCAGATCTCAGGAGGTGGCAAGCGAGGTGTGCCACTACACCTTGACGGGGGGGCCTTTTTGTACCTGCCAGCAACGGGCATGTGCTGCGTCAAGCTCGTGGGGTGATGGCGTCGTACGGCAAGCTCGTCCCTTTCGCCCATCGTTTGGTCCGGGTTTTCCATCTCCACAAAGAAGGAACCACTCGCCGCTGATGGGACCATCACGGTCGGAATTAGGCCTGGCAGCAACTGCCATTTCAGACACAGCAAATGATTCAGGACACCGTCATATCAGGATCATGCACATGCACAAAAAGCTAGAAAGGAAATCGCCATGCTCTATTGACCGGGCGCTGGAGACCGTGGGGTGTGCAAGAAAAAGATGCGTCTAGCTAACAAGAATCGAAAAAAAAAAAGAAGAAAAAACCAAAGACGCCGCTTAGGCCTTGGGAAGGCCGACGGCGGAGCGGATGGCGTCCACAGTGAGGTTCTTGAAGTCGCCACCGGCCTCCCACATGGCGAAGCCGGCGAGCTTGTTGGAGGTGAGGTACCCTCCCTTGGCCTTGATGGACTGGGCGTTGTCGTACGAAACCCACCACTGGGTGGCGTTGTCGTAGAGGAAGGGCTGTTCGGTCAAGGAGAGTTAGCAAAGATTTGTTACAAGAGGGGGGATACAAAAGTTGACGTACCGTCTGGCTGCAGTTGTCAAAGCCGTGCGCGATGCCGGGGGCCGGGTTGCCGGCCTCGTCGAGGAACTTGCCCTCCTGGACCATGCTCCAGACGGTAAAGGTGCCGGACGCGGGCTGGGCGCCGCCGCAGTCGTCGACAAGCGGGTCGTCGTCCCAGGTGCTGCCCTGGCGGCGCTGGCCGCTGTTCTTGGGGTAGGCGAGCAGGGCGCCGTCGGGGCCAAAGGCCTCCTTGTTCTCGACGGTGAAGCCGTGGCCGTAGGCGCCGAAGCCGAGCACGAGCTTCTCCTTGGGGTAGCCGGCGCCGACCCAGGCCTCGATGCCCTCCTTGATGCCGCCCTGGTTGTTGCGCTTGGAGTCGCACGAGAAGGCGAGCGGCGCGTTGGGGCCGCCCGTCCCCGCCCAGGCGCCGAAGATGTCGTAGCCCACGATGATGGAGTAGTCGAGCAGCTCGGCCATCTTGGAGAGCTCGCCGTTGGCGCTGCGCTGGCCGTCCTTGTTGTTGTAGGGGAACAGGCTGACGGCGGCCGAGAGCAGCAGCGGCTTGGGCTGCTCGCGGCGCAGCTCCTGCAGGAACGCCATGAAGTTGAGCGTGTCGTTGGGGCCGACGGCGTTGCAGCCCAGCCCCTGCCGGCCGGGGTACTCCCAGTCGAAGTCGAGGCCGTCGAGGTCGTACTGCTTGACGGTGTCGAGGCACGTCTTGACGAAGGCGGTGCGGTTCTTGGCGTCGCCGACGTTGGAGCCGAAGTGGATGCTGCCGCTCCAGCCGCCGATGGCGAGCTGGGCCTTGACGCCGGCGGCGTGGGCGGCCTTTACGAACTTGGGGAGCTCCTCGGGAGCCGACTTGTGCATGTCGAGGGTGCCGTTGGCCGTCGTTTCGGCAAAGGCGTACTTGACGTCGGTGTACTTTGACCACGGCATCTGCTCGACCGTGAAGGCCTTGGAGCGCTTGGCGTGGTAGCCGGCGAAGTAGGTGGTGGCGTGCATGCCGCCGCCGTTGGAGTAGCCGCCGCCGGATGGAGGGACGATCTCGGGCGAGGTGGCCACGGCGGCGGCGCCCACGGGCTTAACGGCGGCGGCGGTGTTGTTGATGTTGTTGTTGTTGGAGTGGCGGGTCCCGCTGGGGCAGGCGTTGACGCTGCCGACAGCAAGGAGCACCGCCAGCGCGGTCTTGGAAATGCTAATGAATGACATGATCCAGATAATTATGCAGCAGAGGCCGCTGTATTACCGAGTATCAGAAGGGTCTCTGATGGGATCGGAATGGATGGTGGGACCAAGCGGTGGCCTCCAAGTCTCGGTGCGACTTCTGGGGAGAGCCGCGCTGCCGCTTCTTATACCCCTTCATGTTTCCCTCCTCGCCGACGCAGAGCAAACGGGCAATTCCAGGACCCCCCCCCGGTGAGCCAAGTGTGAGTTCACAATGCCCCGACCTTTGCCCACGGGTCGGCAATGCCGTTGCACCGTCACGTCGGGGGGCCATGCAATTTGGTCGGGTTCGGTGGGCGTCACCTCGACCGATCCTCCACCCGCAGGGATGGCCCGGCATCTTCGCGCACTCACACTTGAGCAGAGTTGCAGCGCATTGACGGGATTGTGACACCTGCCTGCATGGCACGCAGCAGAGTTGCTGGCCGCGTTCCCGCGGCTCTGCGTCCAGATGCCAAGCCTGCTGCACGCCTGCATTCTTTTACATGCCGGGGCGCAGAAAAACTCTCCGAGGCAGCCCCCTGCGTGCGTTTGGTTTGCCGACAGATGAGATGGGGGAGGCGGCCTGGATTCTCCTGTCGCCAGCCTCCACATTCTGGGCTGGGCTGCTCGAAGGGGGGCTCGGGGCAGGGAAGAGGGCGGCACAGTTGCCCCATCCGGACCCCTGGACGAATCGTCGCGTTCAATGTCATGTTTATTCCGCATCTGGCAGATCGACACACTCCACCTTCCCCTGACACCGCGCTATCCATGGACGACTGCCGTCCCAGCCCAACGGGACCGCTCGGCCGTTCTCTCGGGCTTGGGCCGTCTTGTGTGCGTACAGTGACGAAAGCACACTCGCCTCCTTCACTCGAGCCCTCACATTCTCTCCTGCCAAGCTCGCTCGCTTCCCCCAGGTACGGGCAAGTGACAGCGCAGTTGCCGTCTTGGCACACCACATTTACCGCAGCGGCCCGCCACGCCACATCTTGGCCAGGCCTTGGCCCAGCGAACAGACGATTCTACGTAGTACAGCCCAAAACCTATCGTCGCTGTGCATGGCTATCTCTATTGCCTACCCGAAGAAGGGCTTGGACAACGACGTCGCAGCGGGCCCGTTTTCATTGGTTTTGACAGCCGAACCGCTGAGTCAAACTTCCGCTGTGCAGATTGGTCATTGGAGCTCGTCTCCACCAAACCGTCCTCGAAGAAGCCTCTTGGCTGAAGCTGTTGTTACGCCTTCGTATTCAGCAATGCTTCGGCGGCCCACAAGAAAGCGAGCAAACTCTAAACAGCAAACAAGAAACAAGGCACACACACAAGCAACTCGCTAGGGATCGGAAAATAACAACTGCCTTTGTGAAGACATGGGTCCAGGTTTGTGTTCGAGAAGCGTGGGCAAGGGCCAGGGATACGAAAAGGGGTCGTGACGTTCGATTGTCCCACCCGGTACTGCCGGCTTCGGAGAAAAGCCCACACCCTAGGAGACAAGCCCTTACATACATACAGTCGCCACCTTGACATACCACGTCCCGTCGTCCACGACAGCCATGGTCGAATGGGGGGCTTCAGGCACGCCCAGCACGCCCACCTGCGCCTGTTGTCTTCCACTAGCATATTCCTGACTGGCGCCACGGCGGCCCGCAGATGGAGCTGGTCGCGACTACCACTACTGTGCAGTCACCTCACTCACGTTGGAAGGGATGTTGGCTGTGGGGGATCCCGTCACAGATATACTTTGCTGCAGACGCTACAGAAATCCGGATTTCTGTCGCTATCGCTTGGCTGTTAAACCGCAAGGTGCTTTACGCTTTACCCTAAAGGCACGCACCTGATACTCCTTTGTATTTTTAAGCGTCGCGCTTGCCCCTCCTTCAGTCCAGCCCTAGCCATGCGCACACATGGGCGGAATTTCGGGCTCAGCGATGGGCCCGAGCCGAATACTTCAGCCCCCGCTGCTGGGCGCAGTCCATCTACCGAGATCTTCCCAGCAGGAACTAGGCCGCTTGGTATGGGTACAGGCTTCCCCAAACACCAAAAGATGGGGACTAGCTTCGAAAGAAACACTCACATTGATCAGAGCCCAAAGTCGAGGGGACATACCACATCACGGGCACTGACAGACCCTAGCAGTCGTAAATACCCCTCGATTATCTCTTTCTCGCTTGGATTTCGGGCTTTTTTTTTCTTGACGAGGAGGCCATCTTCGCATCAAAGCCCCCGATGTGTTGGACAGGCATGGGTTATTTCGCCAGCATTTGACGGGACAGCATGTCTGTCAAACAGCTACGAAAAAGGAATGGTGGTAGTTTTGTAGGCTGCTCCTCGAAACCTCCGCTACACCCATCTCAAATTGCGATCGCAGTTCGTAACGCACACAGATTACACTATCCATGATGGGGGAAAGACGCCCGCGTACCGAAATGGAGATCATTACTAGGCTGGGAGGACCTTGCGAAGCGCAGGGCCAAGGCTAGGACGCCCAATCCCCAAGTGAAATAGACCGAGTTGCGGTTGTATGCTATAAGATGGATCTCCAAAGATAAAAAGGAAGGAAACAATCTACTTGCCTTCAACCATCGCATCCCGTCCGTCCCCAACGAGCTCCTCCGCAGCCTCGACCAGCAAATCACACGCCCCCGCAGCACCCCCGAGGCTGTTGAGCTCCTTAGCGATGGCGGCCGCCCTCTCCCTGTAGCTCGAGCCCTCGATGACCTCCCTCACAGCATCCCTAACCTGCTCGACCGACGGCCTGTCGGTCCCGAGGTCGACCCCCGCGCCGACCGCCACCACGCGCGCCGCCGTGTCGGGCTTATCCTCGGACGCGCCGGCGCAGACGAGCGGAACGCCGTGGGCCAGCGCCTGCGTCACGCTTCCGTAGCCGCCGTTTGTGACGAGCGCCCGGCAGCGGGGGAGCAGCAGGTCATACGGGATCCACGGCGCGGCGCGGACGTTGTCCAGACGGCCGCCGCCGTCGCCGTCGCTCTCCTCGACCGCCCTCAGCACCTCGTCCGCGGACCCGTGCACCACCACCACTAGCACCCGCCCGCCCCGCAGCGCCCGGACGGCGGGCACGATGAGCGCCGTCGGGTCCACGGCGTACGTGCCCTGCGTGACGCCCACGACGCAGCCGTGCGCGCACATCTCGCCCCACCACGCCGGTAGGTCGCCACTGAGGCTGGGGCTGTTGCTGCTGCTGCTGCTGCTGCTACCGCTGCTGGCGGGCGGCAGCGGCCGTGGGACCAGCGGCCCGACAAAGTGCACGCGGGGTTGTCGCGCCGCGCCCGGGAACAGCGCCGGCGGCTGCTCGGCCGGCGGCGGCGCGCAGTGCTCGAGCGACGGGCACGACGCCTGGAGGTGCAGCGCCGGGCTGTACGCAAAGGCGTCGCGCTCCCCCAGCGGCGGCAGCCCGAGCGCCGCCCGCTGCGGGTTGACGACGGGCAGCGCCAGTCGCGGCGTGCTGAGCAGCGCGCCGAACGTGGACCGGGCCGGGTGGGCGACGGGGCGGCCGTCACCCATCACGTCGGGGATATAAAGCGGCACGACGCCGAGGGTGGCATAAGTCGGCGGCAGCTCGCCCAGCTCGGCGAGGGCGGCGACGCCGTGCGGCATGGCGTCGTTGAGCACGTAGTCGGGCCGCCAGTCGTCCTCGGCGGACAAGGCCTGTAATGCATCGCGCAGGTCGGCGACCTGCGCCTCGACGCGGCCGGCGAACAGCTGGCGCGCGGCCGCCCCGTCGTCGGGCGTCGTGGCCTCCTCCGCGACGGGCCTCTCCATGCGCGCGTCGACGGCGGCGCAGCGGCGGGTGGGCACGAAGCGGGCGCCCGAGGCGGCGACGCGGGCGCGCTGGGCTGGCGCCGTGGCCCAGACGACCGAGTGGCCGCGCCGGACCAGCTCCTGGGCCACGGCTTGCGCGGGCAGGACGTGGCCTGTCGCGGAGAAGGTGTGGATGAGGAAGCGCAGCGGCCGGCGGCTCGTCCTCGGCGGCGGCGGCGCCGCCACCGCCGTGCCGGGATCCGTCCTCATGTTTTTCTCCCCTTGACCCAAGGATCTCTTGGCTTTTGACGTGTATAGCTCGCTTTCTTTTTGGCTTCAGAGGGATGAATGCCTTGGTCGATTCCCTGCCCCGCCAAAAACGATTGGAGCCGCCCCTCCTGCAAGTTCCGAGTCTCCACGTCAGGCAAGCGCGCCTCGTGCTACTTTGACAGCCTTTTGTTATTCGAATTCTTCTAGCACAGCCGGGGCAGATGAGACAACCAACCTTCGTATCATGCTACTGGGCATCCATCCAGCACCTGCTCCAACGCTCATCCATGGTCCGCTCGCATGTGGTTTCTTTCGGCATCCTACGTGGTGGCAAGATAGCTTAGACATTTAGGTATCTGGCTCCATGGTTACCTCGTTCGGTCGCACCTCCATCGCTTATGATATTCTCCTCACTACCGGCCCAAAATTCATCGCTCCGACCTGTCCTTCTATACAAAGAAATGCCGGGTTCCCCGCTCGCCCGGGTTCTTGGCGCCCCCCTCGGCTTCGATCCGCGTGAGGACTCGAGCCCTCCTTGGAATAACAACTTGATGAGCGGGGGCAGAGCCACAATCGTCGCCGTGAACAGGGCCAGTCCAATTTCTGGGATGGTACTGTCGGGTGCGTCAGTCGGAGACGCAGACATTTCCATGGTAGAGCAGCCAATCACAACTTACTAGGCATATAGTTCCATATAGAGATCCTCGGCCTCGTGGCCGTGCCCGTCGGCCAGCGCCGCGATGTCGAGCGTGCGCTTCATCCTGAGCACCGTGATGATGGAGGTCAGGGTGCCCAGGCTCAGCAGGATGATGACGGAGATCTTTGTGCTCGACGCGAGCTGGACCCTGTGCAGCAGAAAGACGGGCAAGACGGCGAACATGAAGGCCGAGGCGATGTCCATGGCTGCTATGGAGATAACGAGGTCCGAGAGGGCGTCGGGCGACACGCAGGTGCCCTCGCTCAGGGGCGTCTCGCCCCACACTATCGACAGCGGCCGGCACTGGAGCGCGATGAGCGAGCACGCCACGGCGCTCCAGATGAAGATGACGCTTCCGGCGACGGCGAGCAGGCACTGGATGGACCGGTGCGTCGTGGCCAGCCGGTAGAGGACCAGCGCCGAGCTGAGCTTGGTGAAGCAGAGCCCGAGGATGTACAAGATTCCCGAGCCGACAAAGAACTGCGGTCGAGTCAGCGTCCTGCAAAGAAGAAAGGGGTCCTCCGCGAGCTGCTGAATAAAAAATAGGCGTGGTTTACCTTTATCGCCAGAACTGGGTCGCGGATATCCGCCGGGTCGTCTGCGGCATAGCCTTCAGCAATGGCCACCCACGTCGTGGCGCAGTAAAGCACGAGCAGGATCTGGTGTCTCGTCGTTTCGCGTCAGCACATGACAGCCCCCACGAAGCTCGATAAGAGCATGGGGCGGGCTTACAAAGGCGAACACCAGGGCACAGTCGTCGAGCCCGGCTGCCTTCGTTATGAACAGTCGCACGTACAACCTCAGGCCGGCGGCGATAGTGGTCAGCGCCAGCGTGGCGACGATCAAGGGGGGCACAAGCTCGCGGGAGGGTATCATCTCGGCTCGACTTTGGTTGTCCTTGGGCCCTAGAGCTGGGCGTGTGTTGCTGCTCGGCTCGTCTGACCCAAGGCGGAGAGCTAGATGAGACTCTGCCGATGCATGTTCGATACGCAACCAGCGAGGCAGTCGAAAGGAATTAAGCCGTCGTCTCCCTTTTTGTCTGACTGGAGAACGCCGTGGAGAGAGGGAACCTCGACGGCCTTTACAGGATCGCCAGATGCTCTTTTTGCTTATTTCCAGGTTGACGGGGCAGGCGATCGTTGGTCAGGGGTCCACGGCCAGGAAAGACGAAAGATGGGCGCTCGAGTCCATCTGTGGCGTGTGGTCCGCTGCCCTTTGATGTGGGCACAATTGGCCGATTAGGACCGAACAATGCCCCCCTTGTCGACACCCCGCGGAACCTACCGCCGGGTCGGGCCCGGGGACATGGCATCTTTGCTTGCTCCCCCTGAGCGGCGCCCAGGAGAGCTGTGGCAGCAAGGTTGCAAGGGTTGCAGGGTTGCAGAGCCCTAGCCCGACGCCACACAACCGGCAATCTGGCCGCGAATAGCCGCTTTGACCCAGGCACTCCTGTCCAGCCTGGAGCGGCGCCTGGGTGCGCTGGGATCCCGCAGATCGCATTTCTCTGACATGCTCGGCTGCCGGCTCCGAATCAGCCTAGGCCCGCAACGAACTCACTATCAGCGCCAGCTGATCGCCTAGGGGAGAGTTGGTGACAGCCACACGCGGCGGGGACCAGGTATCTCACCAAGATCGACCTGCCAGGACACGATCCAACGGCTGACGCCTGAAGGATTTCCCCTGCTCGTTCCAAGGAACCTGCCTGGCGCATTGAGGGCTCTCCCAAACCCCCGGGACGCATAGGTGTGCGCGATCTGCGCACCACCTCTCGCTGCTCGGCATTACGGGCGTGACAGCCAACTAGGCCCGCGAGCCCCGTGTGGTTAACCCAGATAACCTCGCATGCCTCGTCCGGCACAGATGCTGGGGTGTTTTGTAGCTGTTGGTTTCTGGTGGTTTGGGAGGGGGAGATGGTGAACGAATCGAACAACCAGGAATTCCGCCGAGACCCAGCAGCCTCACGATTTGCTATGACCACATCCGGAACCTTCCGCGCCAGAGGGCTGTTGGTGGCGTGGGCACCATGCATGACCAGAAATGTCCAGCATGAAGCCGCCCTGGTTGCCTTGGGATTCTGAGCGTCCTGCGGCCTGAAATGAGGAGGGCGCTGCAATATTCGGCTGTTCGTCAGGGAGAGCGCCGGCCGCCACTCCTCATGACCCCGAGGATTGGAGAGACTTTTTGCGTCTCAGGAGCCAGCCGTGCGTGGTCCGAAAGGTGGGAGAAAACATCGCCATCAGCGTCGTGTCTGATTTCTAACCTCCTCGTAATCAGCGACGCGATTTTGCTACGAGAGGGAATGGGGCTACATTCGATTGTAATGTTGCATGTGGCGTCAATAGTTGGGGCTCTCTGGGTAGGTGGGAGGTAGGTAGAGCTGACGGAATTGAGGGGCGCGAGTTTGCAGCAGCCAGGACTTTACGACCCAGCCATTAGGAGCCGCCTATGGTGCAGAGCGGGAGCCCACTCATGCATGGCCAATACTAACTCCGCCAGCCACAAATCTCTATACAGCTGCTTCGCCTCATGTATGGAGCTCGAGGATAGGCATCCATCCCAACCGACAATAACGATACATCGCAAGTTTACGACCCGGCCACTTGGCAGCCCCGATCTTGCAGAGTGGGACCCCACTTACATAGGCTTCATTTGCCTCGTCCCCACCATTGAGACTGCAAAGCTCGCCCCTACATAGCTGCTTCGTCCTGGATATGCACAAGGCACGAGGCTAGGCATCCATCCTGCAGTACGATACAACGGGGTTAACAGCTCGACACAGCAATATTGCCTGCCAGCTGAAGTTCCATAGTGTGCCCAATCGCCAAATAGGATCCGATGAGGGCATTCCACTAGCCGCCCAGGGGGCTGGCGCATCTTTTGCTGACTATTGCTAAGTCGGGCTCGGCTCCGTGGCGCTCGGCTATATCTCTGGCTACGCATCGTGCTACAAAGATATCTGTATAAATACGTAGTCAAGCCCTCTCCATCCAGTCTTCTGAATCGTCTGCTCCTCAAGAGACTCAAGGCAATCAACTCTCCTCCCCCATTCCCTCATCAACACAGCAGCGCACACATCACCACGCTTAGGCTCAGGCTCAGGCTCCACCTCGTCACCATGAAGACCTCCTTCTCCCTCGCCTCTCTGGCCACCGCCCTCGCCTTTGTCCAAGGCGGGCTTGCCGCCCCGGCCGGAGCCTCGGAGCCTGTCACCCTCCTGGACCGCGACAACGCGGCCGACGTTGCCGCCTACGAGGCCTCGCTTGCCAAATGGAAGACGGAGAACAACTGGGAGCAGCCCAAGCTCAGCAAGCGGTACCCCGAGTTCTCCATCTACACTTGCGAGAATAGGTACGTTCACAGATTACACCACCTTCGGGAAAGCGCCATAGAAATCTCAAGAGACTAATCTCTCCGTGTCCTTGCAGCAACTGGGTCTCCCCCTGCTGGTACCACGAGTTTGACAGCTCGGAGCATAACCAGATGAAGGCGGGGGCTCCCGCCGTCTGGGTTTCTGGACAGGTCCGCTCCGTCGGTCCGGGGGCGAGTAAGTCATGATCTCTCCCCATACACGCAATACTCATGTACGGCACAAAGCCTCAGTACTGATTCGTATCCCCTCTCTCCCACTATGCAGGGACGACTTGTGTCCTGTACACCAGCTCTGGACAATTCTGGTTCTCCAACCCTGGCAGTGGTGGTGTTAACCTCCCGGGCCCCGTCAACAACTGGAAGTGCTTCTGGTAAATGCGCTTCAAAGGAACACTGCCAAAGAATGGTTGATCGCGAATGGGAGCCGGACGGATCGTTTTCAAATAGGCCTGCATGCCTCCCTGTTTCTTTCTCGACGCTCTTTAGTTGTGCCTATGCGCGCGGGCAGGTTTATTCTACCCCCTCTTTTTCTTTATGCCCTCTTGATCTCCAACGGTCCTTGGATCGAGAATGCTGTGTTGGGTGTGACAAATGGAGGGAAAAGGAAAATCTCACAAGTGATTATTGCAACAAAACTGCCTGGAATACTGCTGTCAATAAGGGGCATTGGGATTTTTGGAAATGTGGGACTGGAGTCAGGTCAGATGAGTTTGGGGGAGGGCTAGCTAGGTTGTAAATTTATTTCGCAAATATATCAGCGATTTCAATACAAAGACTTTATTCTTGCCTTTTTTCATCTTGTCGTTGCGTTTGTCGTTATTTGATGTTGGGCCAAGACCCAAGGCCAGCGGGTCGTGTCCGTGCGCCAACCGGAAACTCACGCGCCCACCAGCTTTCCCCACACTCATCCGCGACACCACAACAAATGAATGGCCGTCGATCGCGTCTTGTGCATTTCCATTAAAAGTGACAGAGCCTGTGCCCCACGTATCACGCAATAATCAAGCCGGGGGGTTCGAGCTGGCCACGGCTTCCATCGTCCTTCAGCAGACTGCAGCTTTTAGCAGAGGCCCCTTTTCAAGATTTTCCATTTTTACTCCCTGGCCCCTCCTCTCCAACATTCCAGACAGCTCGCGTGGTGGCCCCATCTCCGAAGCTTGGTGGCACGCGCGCAGGCCGCAAACCAGCCCTCCCAGCCGCCTTCCACAACCTCTCAGCTCAGCCCCAAGCGGAAAGATGCCTCCCAAAACCAAAGCCCTAGAGGAGGCTCTCATCGCCGCCGCGCGAGACATTTTCAACAGCTCTTTACGTGGCGAGCTGTCCGTCAATGGCGTGCGCGCACGTGTGGAGCAGGAGGAAGAGCTCGAATCCGGCTTTTTCACATCGGCCAATTGGAAGGGGCGATCCAAGGATATTATAAAGGACGCCGTTGTAAGTGTTCTTGTCTGCGCACCCTCTGAACCCACCTACCTCACCGGTCGCCTGCCTATGGGGGCTTGTCGCTGACTTTGCTTTCGACGCAAGGATGATTTGTTCGCAAACGAGTCCGAGCCGGCTGCCGAGTCGTCCTCCTCGCGACCCAAGTCCGAACCTGAAGACTCGAAGAACGGTCTCAAACGCGAGTCTAGCGAAGAGCCTTTACCCGCCAAGAAACGGCAGAAGCGAGAGCCCTCAAGCTCGGTATCGAACAAAAAGAAGGTTGCTGTCAAGAAGTCAGAGTCATCATCAGAGCTCTCAGATCTGAGCGACGAGGATGTCAAGCCCATCAAAAAGCGGCAGAAGAGAGAGTCCTCAAGCCCCATCCCGGCCAAGAAGAAGGCTGCTGTCAAAAAGGCCGACTCGTCCTCAGAGCTCTCGGACCTGAGTGAAGTTGAGGACGTGAAGCCAGTCAAAAAGAGGAAGGCAGTCAAGCGCGCCACGGCCGCGAAAAAGAAGCGCAAGACTGCCCCTGATTCGGAAGATGAGTCAGACGTGGCCAAAGATGAAGACAAGTCCGAAAACGAAATGAGCATCAAGGAGGACTCGGAAAGCGAGGTCGACACCAAACCAGCAAAGAAGAAAAAAGCCCCGGTGAGGAAGAAGGCTCCCCCAAAACGCGCTGCGCCCAAGCGAAAAATCGAGAATCCTACCGACTCCGATGACGACGACGATGAGGAGAAGCCTGTCGCAAAAGATGAGAGGCCTGTCGCCAAGGATGAGAAGCCCTCTGAAGATGAGATAGCCGTCAAGGTTGATGGAGACAGTGAGACCAAGTCGGAACCCAAGAAGGAACCCAATACCGAACTAGCGGACGACGTGATATCGGTGAAGCAGGCCGTGGAAAAGCAGGAAGATGACGAAGACTCACCCCTTAGCGATGTCAAGGAGGGCTTTTCCGACGACGACGAAAAGAAAGCTGTAGGGAAGAACAAGCCGGCAACTGTCGACTACAACTCCGACAGCAGCATGTCGATAGTATACGACGAGCCGCCCACAAAGGCCAAGCGAGGCAGGAAAGCCAAGGGCAAGGACGCGTCCGAGCCCAAGGCCGCCAAGGGCACGGCGAAGAAGCCGGCCGGCGGGGGCAGGAAATCGACGGTGGCGGCGGACGCGGCGGCGTCGCCGGACGAGGCCGAGATCAAGAAGCTCCAGGGCTACCTCGTCAAGTGCGGCGTGCGCAAGATCTGGGCGTTTGAGCTCAAGCAGCACGGCGACAACGCCAAGGCCAAGATCAGGCACCTCAGGGAGATGCTGCGCGAGATCGGCATGGATGGGCGCTTCTCCGAGGCCAAGGCGCGCGAGATCAAGGAGATGAGGGAGCTCGCGGCCGACCTCGAGGCGGTCCAGGAGATGAACAAGTCCTGGGGAGTCGGCGGCCGGGCATCGAGGAGCCGCGCCGCCGCCGCGGGGAGTAGCAGCAAGAAGTCGATTGCGGAGAGTAGCGGCGACGAGGACGGCGGTGATGACGACGACAACAACGATGACGAGAAGCCGAAAAAGGAAAGGAACGGGTCCGATGACGAGAGCGGGTCGGACGTCAAGACCTTTGCCAAGAGCCGCCGGGACAAGCGACATGCGGACCTGGCCTTCCTTGGTGATGAGAGCGAGTCGGACTGAGGGCGCAGCGGGTAATTGTAATTATAAGAGGTGGCGGCGGGTGATGCTGCGGCACAGTTCGTGTCATGGAGTTTCGCTGGGAGGACCTCCCGTGATATCGGGCGCATCTGTAATGTTCTATTCTCATGACAGAAGTCTGTATGTGCATGTTTGTATTTGTAGATGCTAGCGGTTTTTCGGCCACATGAGAGACGTTCCTGCTACCTCGTCGCGTTCATCCTCTGTGCGATCAGGCTGAACACGGCAACCGAGCCCATGAACAGGACGGCATTGTAGAACTGGGTGTGGTGGCGACTGGGTCAGCGCCGGCATCACTCATCACTGAGGGGAGTACAAAAACATGATGAGTATTCATACCGCTCTCCTCGAGACCTCGCGCTCCTCATTGTCTGTTCTGGCCTCGATAAAGAGTCGCCTGAGGTTTGGAAGTTTGGCCTAAGATATGATGAGTAATCTACAGGATACAATGTGCTATCAGGGCGTTGGACACACCATTGGGGCTTCTTTAGTCGCCAACTGATCAGCTCGGATATTTCTTCGTGTTCTGGATTCTTGCTCGAGTTTTCCAACGGCCTCCCGGATTTGCTTGGAAAGCCCGGTGCCTCTCTCTAAAGCGACCTCCTGCATAAATACTCAGCAACCACTTTGTCTAGTTGATCTTATTGTCCAGAATTGCTTGGACTAGTGGGCATGCAGATTTCTCAAAGAATCGTCAGACTCGAATCGTGAGCATTTGGCGCAGGGAGGGGTGGCTTGTCACAGCCCAGGGAGCTCGCGCCACATTTCAGCACAGCCACTCAGCGCCCGCCAGCGCCAGCGGTGCGCGCTTCAGTGGAGACAGCGAGGGTGTTGATGGCCAGCCCAACCTGCCGACCCCTAATCGACTTTGGGACTCGCAATACCTCCCCAGAATCTCCGCGACACGCTCCCATGGACGCTCCCGGCGCCTGACTCCCGTCCGCGAGCCCCGTTGAGCCACCGACCTTCCCCGCCGCCGAGCCTCGGACTCGTCGCCTTCACGCCCAGCCGACCGTCACTGCCCTGCCCCTCCCCACCTCGCCGACGTCCCAGCCTGGTGCTCGACGGTACCATGGCGGTAAACAGGATCCGCGGGGCCTTTACCGCCCCGAGGAAGGGAGAGACGTTTGAGCTCCGCGCAGGGCTGGTCTCCCAGTATGCCTACGAGCGCAAGGAGTCGATCCAGAAGACCATCATGGCCATGACGCTCGGCAAGGACGTCTCGGCCCTCTTCCCCGACGTGCTCAAGAACATCGCAACGGCGGACCTCGATCAGAAGAAGCTGGTCTATCTCTACCTGATGTATGCATGACGCCATATCCGCTGGTCTGCTTCACATACACACCCACATACCGGCCCGATCCGAGTGGCTCAGGCCTCGACCTCGGCGTCCGCCTGCCACAGCCTTTGCTCGATGCGCTTTGTTGCTGACAGGATGGACTAGGAACTACGCAAAGTCGCACCCGGACCTGTGCATCCTCGCCGTCAACACGTTCGTCCAGGACTCGGAGGACCCGAACCCGCTCATCAGGGCGCTGGCGATCCGGACCATGGGCTGCATCAGGGTCGACAAGATGGTGGACTACATGGAGGAGCCGCTGCGCAAGACGCTACGGGACGAGTCACCCTACGTGCGCAAGACGGCCGCCATCTGCGTCGCCAAGCTCTTTGACCTGAACCCGACCATGTGCATCGAGAACGGCTTCCTCGAGACGCTGCAGGAGCTGATCGGCGACCCCAACCCCATGGTCGTCGCCAACTCGGTCCAGGCCCTGTCCGAGATCGCCGAGACGGCGCCCGAGACCAAGGCGCTCGTCGTCACCCCGGCCACGCTCAAGAAGCTCCTCATGGCCCTCAACGAGTGCACCGAGTGGGGGCGCGTCACCATCCTGTCCACCCTGGCCGACTACCCACCCCAGGACGTCAAGGAGTCGGAGCACATCTGCGAGAGGGTCGCGCCGCAGTTCCAGCACGTCAACCCCAGCGTCGTCCTGGCCGCCGTCAAGGTCGTTTTCATCCACATGAAGTTCATCAGCCCGGATTCGGTCAGGCAGTACCTGAAGAAGATGGCGCCTCCGCTAGGTAATATGACCCCTGTTGGTCCAAACTAAATGTAATGGCCCGCCCTCTAACACGCCTTGCAGTCACCCTTGTCGCCTCCGCCCCCGAGGTCCAATACGTCGCCCTCAGGAACATCGATCTCCTCCTCCAAGCAAAGCCAGACATCCTGAGCAAGGAGCTGAGGGTATTTTTCTGCAAATACAACGACCCGCCCTATGTCAAGATGCAGAAGCTCGAAATCATGGTGCGGATAGCCAACGACAAAAACTTTGAGCAGCTCCTCGCAGAGCTCAAGGAGTACGCCCTCGAGGTGGACATGGACTTTGTGCGCAGGGCCGTCAAGGCCATCGGCCAGGTCGCCATCAAGATCGAGAGCGCGAGCGAGAAGTGCGTCAACGCGCTGCTGGATCTCATGGCCACCAAGGTCAACTATGTCGTGCAGGAGGTCGTTGTCGTCATCAAGGACATATTGCGCAAGTACCCGGGTTACGAGGGCGTCATCCCGACCCTGTGCGAGCATATTGACGAGCTCGACGAGCCCAACGCGCGCGGGTCGCTGATTTGGATCGTGGGCGAGTATGCCGAGAAGATCAGCAACGCCGACGAGATATTAACGAGCTTCGTGGACGGCTTCATGGAGGAGTTTACCCAAACACAGCTCCAGACCCTCACGGCCGTCGTGAAGCTTTTCCTGAAGAAACCCAGCAGCAACCAGGGTCTGGTCCAAAAGATCCTCCAGATGGCAACAGCGGAAAACGACAACCCGGATATCCGAGATCGGGCCTATGTTTACTGGCGTCTGCTTTCGGGCGACCTGGAGATCGCAAAGGTTGGTTATTACACTTGACTTGTCTACAGTTTCCGCAACCCATGTCACTGACCCCTTGTCGATTCCGTGCCACCCAGAACATTGTCATCTCGCAGAAGCCCGCCATCAGCACGACGATGACGTCACTCCCTCCCGCGCTGCTCGAGCAACTCCTGATGGAGCTCTCGACGCTCGCGTCTGTCTACCACAAGCCGCCCGAGTCGTTCGTTGGCAAGGGCCGGTTCGGCGCCGACGAGATCCAGCGCGCGGCCATCCAGGAGCAGAGGCAAGAGGCGGCCGAGAACCCCATCGCGGCAGCCGTCGCGGCCGCCAATGGGGGCGCGGCCACGGGGTCCCAGAACAACATGGAGAACCTGCTCGACATCGACTTCGACGGTGCGGCGCCCGCCACCGCCGAGGGCGCCGCCACGCCCGACCGCGTCATGAGCCCCGTGGGCGGCGGCCCCGCCCAGCCGTCGGGCGGCATGGCCGACATGATGGGCCTCTTTGACGCGGCGCCCTCGGCCCCGGCGGCCGGTGGTGCCGGTGCCGGTGCCATGGGGGACATTATGAACGGGTTCGCGGGCATGGACCTGAGCGGCACCAGCGCACCGCCGCCTCCTGGTCAGCAGCTGCAGGGACAGCCCGGTGGCGCTCCGGCGGCCAAAAAGAGCGACAACGAGGATCTGTTGGGTCTGTTCTAAACTCGGTGGGCAGACGACCGGGTTCCTGTGGCTCTTCTTCTTTCGTGTTTTTGTCTTTCGTCACCTCACGGCATTGCTCTTTCAGGTCGGATAATCTGAAAAGCAGGGGTGGGTGGGATGGGTAGAATTTCTGTATCTCTGGAGAGGGTAGCCTTTTATCTTTTTTTTTTCATTCTTCCTTGGCCATCTTTCCCGTGTTTCTCTATGACCCCTGATCCTTCAAACATGCGGGAGTTGGTATTTACATTCGGCTGCTGGGAAATCGACCAAAATACAACGTGGAGATTAATGTCCCATTGCCAGCATATCATGGTCTGTCCAACTCTGACCCCCACTCCTGTCCAAGTGGACACGCGCGCGGCCTCTCACAAGAATAACCGCCGTCGAATTCCTGACGAGCCACCTCGTATGTAGGTGTTGTGAGCTGGTGCGATGTGTTTTCGAGGCGGGCTTGCCCTCCACCCCAGGACATGCATCGTGACCATCGGGCAAAGCCCTTGCGCCTGCGTCTCTGACGGCGTGGCTACCGACTCCCCAACGCCCACCCAACCACCGGCAATTTCAGGAGTATCATGGTATAAAAGCCACCATACACAATGCGGTCTCGCAAGAAATCCTAAGGTGGCTCTCTCCACCCGACTCTTTAACACTTGTTACTTCCCGAGACACGCTTTTGCCTCACTACTTCCCAAGATGGATGGTTACTCCCCACGGCTTGTAAAGGCCAAGCGGGGCAAGTGATGATATGTATAAGCCATAGAGTGTAGCCATCCATCTCGGCAAGTAGTGAGACAAAAAACCGTGACTGTTGTGGTAGTAACTGTCAAGGTCAGGTGAAAAGGTCACTTTGGACAAGATACTTTAGAGTCCGCTTCGCGCGCAGTTGGGTATCATGGTATTGAACCTGGGTCCTGGAGACACTACACAAAAGTTCACCCCATACAGCTTAGACAAGCCAATTTACGGCCGCGCCTCTCTGCTGTGATAGGCCAATATCAACGCCCAGAAAAGCTGGCTCTCCAGCCGCCCTTCTCGTACAGCCACAGGGCCTCGATGGCGTAGGCCCTGGCGGCGCGGTGGCCCGTGCCCTCCTCGACCGAGGCGGCCTCGTTGAGGCTGTCGAGGACGCGGCCCTCGCTGACCTGGCGGAAGACGCCCATGGCCATGGAGCCCTCGTCGCCGGGGCCCCACTCGCCCTTGCCGAGGCGGAACAGGATGCGGCCGAGGGTCCGGAAGGCGATGCAGCGCTGGGCGGGGACGGCACTGCGGGCGAGGCGGGCCAGCTCGGCGACCGTGTAGCCCGCGGCCTCGGGCGCCTCGCCGTGGTGGTGCAGGCCCTTGGTGGTCGGGATCTGGCGGCTCAGGCGCGGAGGGAGCAGGCGGCCGGCGAAGTCGAACCGCAGCTGCGACACGGCCAGGCTGGTCTGGCCCGGGTAGTAGGGGGAGTCGCGGTCCGCGGGCGAGCCTTCGGTCGGCAGTGGGGCCATCCATGCCAGCTTGGCCGGGTCGGCCGCGAGGTTGGGGAAGTACTTTTGGTGCAGCGCCTCGAGGAAGTTGGGGTCCGAGGGGTCGAGCTCGGGCGGGCCGGTCGCGTGGGGGAAGTGCGTGGTGTTGGTGCTCGCCTTGGGCGGTTCCTGTTGTTGCTGTGGCGCCGGCGACGGCTGCTCCGGCGGCGCTTGGTCTGGCTGCTGCTGCCGTGATGGCGGTTCGGGGACTTCGTCTTCGACCGTTGCGGCAAACGACACCGTCTTTTTGGGAGCTCGAAGCTCCTTCATTGTATTTTCTTCCGCCCCTTCCGCCCCTTCCGTCTTTGTTGATGCCGGCAGCGGGGCGGAGCTCACGCTATCCATCGCGAATGGGTCCGGGCCGGGGGGCTTCTCGTCTAGGTTCGCGCGGCGTAGGAGCATCTGCAAGACGTTTGGGTCCAAGGACGACAGGAGTTCCGCCTGAGCGTCGGCGATCTCGGCGGACGACATCGCCGCCAGCCTCTGGCGGTTCTCCCTATCGATTGTTCGCCTTTCCGGCCCGGGAGGGACGAGGCCGTTGGCTGGTCCTCCCCCGGCACCGCCCGGTCCGCTGCGGGGCTCTGGCGCTATGGATGCCGGCACATCCCGCCTGACTTCCCCTTTGTTGTCGCCACCTCCTGCCCCGGCCTCCCGCCTTTGCTTCTTGAAAGTGGACACTCGCGACCTCTTCTTGTGTTCGGGAAAGCCGGAGGCGGTGGATTTGATTTGGGGGAAGCTCGGGGCTTTTGCCTCGCCGGTCTGCTTTTCTTGAATGTCGAAAACTCGCAAAGTCGATTCCATGTCTGCTGTTTTTCGACGACACACCACTCATATGGGCTTCGGGCTATCGTCCAACGGCGAAGTGATGACGGGCGTTGTGGCAAGAGGGACGAGAAATGGGTGTCATGCGGATTACCCCACCGCGCGCGCCTCAGAAACGCGCGACACGGCAATAAAAAGCCCAGCCTTGTGGCTGGTGTTAGCCCGGCAGGCGGGGTTGCGCTCTAGCCACATCGGGTGCATTAGCGTCGATCGGGAACAGATCAACTGATGGGCATTCCAGAAGCAGGGACCGTCAGCCCAGCCGTTTCAGGCCAAGATTAGGCCAGGCGAAACTCGGCTTGCACAGTCGCCCCCTGACACTTGAGCCGACCGACCTGCCGACCTGACGAATCCCCATCACGTTTAACAAGCACAAGCTTCAATTCGGAATGAGCGTCAGCTGTGATTGATTTTTTGTGATCTTTTGTCATGTTGAAAAAGAAGCAGACAGAAACAGATAGTATAAAATACCGAAAAAGATGGGGCAAAGACACATAAACAAACAACATCGATACAAATCGAATAGCCATGCAACACTCATACTCACAAGCCGCTGGCTCTAATGCAGCCCATTCGCCCGTATATTGCGTCTTTCCGTGCTGCACGGGTTGGTTATGCAGAGGTTACACCAACGGCTAGGCGTCCAGAATTGAACTAGCGAGTACCTATGCCTTTGTACCTCGTACCAAATTGCTGAGCGACGTTGTATATATACTTCCCACCAACAATAAAAACTGCACGGATGATCTGCACAAGTCCTCGCTCCGAAACCAGGGAGTTTCTCGACAGGCAATTGTCTGGAAGGATTTATCTTTGGGCTCATGATTCGGCCCCTGTCAGCCTATTTAGGAATCCTGGCTGGTACCAATGCACATATCACGGACGAAGACAAGAAACATCGCTCAGGTTTCCCACTCGGATCAATGCCCCCTCTATCGGGCCAACTCTTGGCAGATTGTTTGTGGCGTTTCCTGGCCCTTTCCGTTTTTGTTCTTTGTCCTCCCGGCGGATTCGTCCCATGCTTCAAGTTTGATGTGCAAGCTCACTGCCCCATGTTCGGCATGGCCTGTACCGCCGTGGAACCGAATGAGGCTACCGGGTGTGCTTAAATTGGCAAGCACGGCAGGGTGGGGAGGTACCTCGGTACCTGGCCGGGGTCTGGCGGGAGCATCTCATGCAGCTAACCCCTCCACCAATCGACTGGTGGGCTTCCACCTTCCCCATCCCACCATCCCCACGCGCTCTTGGCTGCGTGCACACCTTTTGGCCCACGCCAAAAGAAACATTAACCTCCGGAGCAGGGGGGTCAAGCCGCCGTCCCGCACCCAAGCTGGAACCTGACCTGCGTCTGGCTCCTCTTGCACGAGCCATGTCATTACCCGCCAGACACGCGGTCCCCACCACAGCACAACAACACCCTTTTTCGTCGGGGGTGGATCCAGCCAGCTCCCTGGGGCTCGCACCCACCTTTCCAATCCCGGGCGTTTTTTCAACTTCCATTTGTGCGTGCATCTCTTTTTCTGCCTGCAGCCTGCGGCTGTCGCCTTTGTCGGAATCCAATTGGGGGGCCCCACCCGAGAGTTTCTTTTTCCAATTTTTTTCTTCTTGCCTGCCGCACGCCTTGCAAACGCACACCACAAACGCCATGCAGCTGCGCGCCGCCCTGGTCAGCCAGCCAGCCGGCCGGCCCAACAGTGCGCGCGCCCGCAACCTGGCCGCCGCCCTATCCATGGCCGTCACTGGGGGTATTCTCGATGTTCGGCAGCGCTCCCCCGTTGTCTCTCTTGCCATCGCGGGTGACCAGAGCCCATGTGCCAAAAGAGCCCAGGCAGGGCAGGCTGTCCGAGATGGACTGTGCTCCCTCCCTCCCTGGTGCCTGCCCACCTACCCGCTGCGCCGGTCGATTCCCCATCCTGGTCGCATGGAGGCATCACGTCGGCTGCCCGTTCCCATCGTGCTGCTAGGCCTGGTGTTTCTCGTTTCTGGCGCCCCCAACTCGCTCGGCGGTCTGATGCCGTTCGGGTCTGGCTGGTCCTTTGACTCTGGCCACATCCCATCTCGAAGCCCCCCCCTTTCCCCTTTCCCCCTTGCCTTCCTCGTCCGCCCTCGGCGCTGTTGCAATGCGACCTGGCCTGTCCCGCGCCCCAAGCTAGCCACGGCTTGGTGTTTTTAATTCGCCTTTTGTTTAATAATTGACTCTATTCCAGATGGCCCAAGGCCGCCGCACCCCCCAGTTTTCTTGTGCCCGTTTCTTCCCTGCCTAAAATTTTTCCTACCTTCTCAAAACGCAGCCATCCCCAATCTCTTTTTCTCCCCCCAACTGCCCAAACCACGATCTTTTCCCACCACTTCCACCCACCACAATCCTTTTTCCCTGGCGGTGAAACGCCCTTTTCCATCAACAGCGTCGCCATCCCAATCGTTTTTATCTTGAAAATACCATTGTTCGATTCTGCAGAGTCTCCTGCATCTCCCGCTGCACCTGATATATCGCCGCCCGCCCGTCGTCTGTGTTTTTTTCGACCTGCAATATTCGCGATTGCCGCTGCGCGTCGGCGGATTCTGCAGTCGGGCTGCTGAGGATATTCGCAACCTGAGAGCTCCACCCAACGCACTGTCCACCCTCCCAAACGACCGCCACCCGACTGGAAGCAGCCCATCCACGCCTAATCCGGCAGACGGGTCACGTTACCGGCCCCGTCAGCACCACAGCTGGCCACCGCCCTGGTTCGCGATCGTTCTGCGTCTCTTGATTGGTCCGCTCCACACGCTTCACGGTCACCACCGTGACGTTATTCAGGGTCCCCAAATGTGCACCAATTAATCCTTAGTGTCAACTCCACGCTCGTCTGCACCCTTTCCCCGTCGTATTTTTTCTGCACTTTCAAGGTTCGAACGCGTCGCCAAAGTTTCCCTCGCTGTCGGGAGGGGAGCAGCATTGGCCTGCTAGGGGTTCAGGGCGAAGAATGGCACAGTACAGCTCGTCGCCATCGCTGTCGTCTCCTCCCTCAGGTTCAATTTCGGATCCAGGTTCCCCGTCACGCCTCCACCAAGGCCGCGCCAACATCGCTATGGGCGACGAGATCATTGTCGACACGGCCGCCCAAGCCAGGTTCGGGCTCCTCCAGCAAGAGCCCCAACCCAATGTTCCACTGACTGCTGCTGGACTTCCTCGCAAAAAGCCTGGCCGGAAACCCGGCGCGGCCGCGGCCGCTGCTGCTGCGAAGAAGGCTGCAGCCGCCGCCGCCGGATCGCCTGCCGACGGAAGCTCGATTAACAACCCAGAGGCTCCCGCCAAACAACGAAAGCCCCGGAAGCCCAAGGATCCCGGCGCTCCCCCCGTCCAGCGTAAGCGTAAGGCACCCCCAACAGATGTTGACGGTGCCCCGGACCGAGAGGGTAGATCGTTTTCGACCGGCCCGGAGACCCTTCGCCAGCCCAAGATCACAGAGCTGGCCTCGATGCGTATGGACCTTGACCCCCCAGTCCGTCCGCAGCAAGCCCAACAGCAACCACCCCCGGCCGCCCCGAAACCGGCTATCAAGCGCGAATCCATGCCTGGATCCATGCGAAATATCCTCAACGACGACTCCCCTCCTCCTCCCCAGCACTCGCCGCCCCCGAGGACCAGCGGCCAATCTTACGATCCTGTACGATCAAATTCCAACTATGACCCCGTTCGCGAGACGATGCTCGCTCGCGACCCCTACGGCACCGGCTCGCTTGGCTCTCCGCGTGCTCCGTCGCAAATGCCCAACCGCGCCAGCGCATCGCCTTCGATAGCAAGCCTCGTCGATCCGGTCCCATCGACGCAGATGCGCTCGCCCCCTGTTCTTAATCAATCATTCAGCCGGTTCCCGGAGTCGACGTCGACGCCAACTTCGCCCTCCACCACCGTTCGCAATGCATCATCATTTGCCGCTACAACCGTGCCGGCCCACCGCCCCGCAGCCCCAGCTGTTTCGCCCGTTAGTGAACCCAGGCAACCTGCGTCCGCGGCTGAGGCTAAGGAGACCAAAACGGTACCGGCGTCCGAGAGCACCAAGACCAAGGCTGCTCCCGAGGGAACAAGAACTAAGACGACGTCGACCGAGAAGTCCAAGACCGCACCGGCCTCTGAGGTAACCAAGGCAACTAGAAAGTCGACCGGATCCGCTATTCCTTCGCTCAAAGCGCCTCCTGTTTCTGCGAAGGGCTCGGATACTGCAAAGTCCACTTCGTCTACTGCATCAAAGGACAAGGACACAACTGCAGCGGCGCCTGCGTCTGCACCCAGCAAGAAGGTCCATTCGATGGTCCTCCAGGAGCGCAACAAGCAAAAGGGCACTAGCTCGACGTCTTCGCCCAGAGTTTCCGGTGTCGCGATGCCTCCGATTCCAGACTTCCCAGATGACGGCAATGAGCGATCGATCCTCGACTTTGGAAAGGCCAATCCGGCGGATAAGAAACAGGCACCGTCCATCGTGCTCGAGATTGCCCTGAACGGCGAGACCAACAAATACGTTAACTTCATGCGCATGGCGGAGGACAAGTACGGCTGGGACGCCCTCCATCCTCGCGAGGCTGCGCACCGCGACCGTAAAGCGCGGATCGCGGCTGCGGCATCCGCGCTCGAGAAGAATGAGAAGGCGGGATCCGGTCGTGAGACGTGCGACGAAGAGACGGACCAAGAGTCGGGCGCGGATGAGAGCAATGCCGAAAACGGCAATGCCGCCGCGGCTGTCGCTAGCGGCCCGGACGCCGCAGCTGACGACGCTCCCAAAAAGATTCGGCGCAAGCGAAACTTCAAAGAGGACGAATATGACAAGGAGGACGACTTTGTCGACGACTCTGAGATGCTCTGGGAGGAGCAGGCCGCGGCGAGCAAGGACGGATTCTTCGTTTATTCGGGTCCGCTGATCCCTGAGGTTGAGAAGCCCGCACCTGGGTACGTGTCTCATGCTCTGCTCCTTACAGAAGTTTGTATGACAAGAAAGGTTGGCTAACGTTGGTGGGCACATTTAGATCCGAGGGTCCTCCCAAACGTGGACGTGGTGGGCGCGGAAGCCGCGGCGGCGCAACCCGCGCATCTGCTCGCGGTGGTGCCTCCGGACGTGGCAGCCGGGGCGGGCCTGGCTCGCGCGGCGGCGCTACGGTTCGGAAGCCTCGCATCACTAAGCTCGAGAAGGAGCAGATCGAGCGCGAAAAACAGGAGCGTGAGAAACAGGCCAAACTGACGTCCACAAAATCGAGCTCGAACAGCTACGGGCTCGGTTCGCCCAGCGCCAACGCCCCCCTATCATCCGCCATGGTCATCGACCTCTGATGGCGGGTGTGTACTCATACCAACCCTTGCCGTGTCTCCTTTTCCGATGTTTTCCCCTTGGTTTTGATACCACATACCATCACCGATTCTTTTTTTCGTTTGTCCTACCCTTCTTGTTTTGCGGTTTTTTTTCTCCTTCAATTTTTGTTTTCATGTGACCTTTGTGCTAAATGGTTTGTGGGATCTCATACAGCGGTTGGTCTCATGAGGGCGTGTGGGAATCGAAAGAAGGCGTGGGCGTTCGTTTGGCGATAGGAGTTTCGTCTACCGATCGGGTTTCGGTCGCCATGTTGCTTTATTCCTTTGCTTACTTTTTTTTGACGGGCCCGGCCTCAAGAGTGCGGCCTGTCCGATTGTGTGGCTCACGCCGCGAGTACATAAGAGCTGGGAACTGGAGCTTATCATGAGAAGCGATGATGGGATGCATCCGCATCTAGCGGCGCCGACCTTTGAGAGTAGCAACCAGAAGAGAGGGTGCTTCGAGAGATGTGCTCTGTTTAGGACGGCGGGCTCTTCAGCAGATAGTCTCCTTACTAGTAATACCATGATGATAATGCGACTAGGTCGCCTCTAAATAACATTGTTTGTATGCATCTGAGGGAGTAGCTGCAGTGACGCCATGTAGTGTCAAGTGGGGGTCTGCAAATCTGAGTTTCTCAATATTTTTTAGTCATTATAGGTACACCACGCTGTGTGGAGCCGGACCGTCATGATGGATGAGATTGCCTCGGATTGCGGCGTATCCTCCAGTCCCAAGTTCCCAGATTGGTAACCCGCTCCGCCATGCGTCTCGCTCACTGCAACCCCACTCCTGCAGCCGCTTCTCATCTCATCACGCCTGCTCACACTTCTTACCATCAAGCCCAACAGGAAACCGTCTCGGCCGGTCGGAAGCTGGCGTCCGAGTGGCCATGCTGTGCTACTCCTCGGGTGCTGGCTGCTACAATCCATCGCTGGCGCCCTTTTGGTCACGGGCGCACGCCCTTTCAATTTCCCTCGCGGAACTGGCGGAACGGCGCCAAAAAGCGGGGGAGCCGCATACACAGTATACCCAAAGCGCACTAATAGGGGGGACCTCGCATCCACCACCACCTCCACCGACGTGATGGGCAAGACAACGTGCAGCTCCCACGACGCCTAGAACGTGTGGTGGAACGGCGGCTGCGCGGACATACCACCACCACACGCATTGCCGGTGGCGGGTTGGAGCCAATGCTCTGATGGCCGAGAACGCAGCCGTCGCAGCCCCTCGTTTTCCCTTTCCTTTTTGGCATGCGAGGTTGGTAAGCAGGCAGGAGCAACCACCACCACCACCACACACACACACACACACACACCGCATATGACTGTTTGCGCATCCCTCCCTCCCGACAGCGGCTGGCTGCGGCGGGCTGCGCAGAATTATGGCCCGCTATGTACCCAGGTAATCAGCAAGTGGAGCTGGACCAAAAGGCCGAAGTCCGAACTCGGCTGGCCGGCCGAGCTGTTTGTTGCTGCTTGCTCGTCCTCTCCTGTTCGCTGCACAAGGGGATGGATGGTCGGGCCTGGCGGACCCCGATCCGCCATGGAGGTTGGTTGCCCTCTTTGGTGACGGGTTCGCTCCCGGGCTGGAAAAGGCCTGCTGTGGCCACCAACAATCTCACAGAAACAACCCCTCCAGCTCCCCATTCCTCCTGGCGTCTCTCCTTCTCTTTATAACCTGCGCATTTTCCCATTCCCCTGCCCTGGAGGGTTGCAATCGTGGGGTACCTAGTACATGCCTTGGCTTCCATCCCAGGGCTGCGGATCTGGGCTCCTGTTCTTGGCATCCCCCAAATCCGAGGTCCAGGTTGTGGGTCGTCATCGACTGCTGTTTTCTGCCGTTTTATCTCCGTGTTGTCCTTTTGATTTAGACTTGGGCTTTTGCTGTTTCATTACGCTCCCTCGGATAGCCTGTGCCTTGTGTCCGTTTTGTGCACCTCCTTGAACTTTTCCTTTGCGCAGTCGAAGCCTCAAGCCGAGAACTTGGTATCGGAGTGCTGCTGCTAAAAAGGGATAGCCGAGTCACCGCGGTGCAAGCGCAGATGGCGGCTCCCGACAGGGGCCTCGAGAAGCCCGAGAAGGACCCAGACGCAGGCTCCGTAACCTCTCTTTCAGATGGATCGGCTGGGTCGGACCACAGTCCAGCCCGCAGCAGGGTGGGATCTGTGACCGAGACAGAACGCGAGCAGGATACGAGGACTGCGGCTCAACTAGAACCTTTGAAACCACCCGCAAGCGCCCGCACAAGCTTACAGCACCGAAGGAGCTCTTGTGCACGATCCGAGCGCGGGTCTCTCCCTGGCGCCAGCAGCCATGATCCCGGGCGGCCGAATCATGACGACGGCGACGAGCCCGGTGGCTTTGTGGGCGAAGAGCCGCTATCACGTCTTCAGACAGCTGCCAGCGCTCGAAGCGCAGCCTCCCGGGCCCCCGAGTACGAGGTCGTGTTCGACGAAGGCGACGCCGAGGGCGACAGCAAAGATGGGGACGGCGGTGGCGGTGGAACGAGCGACAACCCGCGCTCCTGGCCGATCCTGTACCGCGGCTGGGTCATCTTCTGCGTCTCCTTCTCGACTTGGGTCGTCGTGTTGTACAGCACCAGCTACACGGCCGCGATCCCGCTCCTCATGGCCGAGTTTGGCGTCCAGAGCACCACCGTCGCCACACTCGGGGTGACGAGCTACCTGATGGGGCTGGCCGTTGGCAGCATCGTCATGGCGCCGCTCAGCGAGCTGTACGGGCGCAGGCCGCTGTACATTTGCTGCATGTCCGTTTTTGCGCTGCTCGTGATCCCCACGGGCGTGGCCACGTCCTTGTGGGGGATTATTGTCGTCAGGTTTGTGGGGTAAGTTGTAACTCACTCCCCTCCATTTCCGCAACGCCTATGGGGTGCTGATGTCTAGTGTTGTTCTTGCACAGAGCCCTCTTCGGAGCCGTCATGATATCCCTCGCCACCGGCACCATCGTCGACATTTCCAACGAGGAGCACCGTGCACTTTGCATGTCGCTCTGGAGTATCGCCCCTTTTAACGGACCCATAACGGGCCCCTTGATAGGAGGCTTCGTGTCCCAGTTTCTCGGCTGGCGCTGGAACAACTGGCTGGCCTTGATCCTCGCGGGCCTGACCGTCGTCCTGATGGTGACGGTCAAGGAGACGTACGCGCCCGTCATCCTCCAGGCCAAGGCGGCCAGGCGCCGCAAGGAGACGGACGACGACCGCTGGTGGAGCCGCTACGACGAGCGCAACATGTCGAGGGCGGACCTGGTGAGGCTCAACCTCGGCCGCCCCTTCGTGCTCGCCGCCACGGAGCCGATGCTGTGGTTCTTCAACACGTGGATATCCGTCATCTACGGCATCCTGTACCTCTGCTTCGTGGCGTACCCGGTCGTGTTCGCGCAGCACCGCGGCTGGTCCGTCGCCACGACGGGGCTCTCCTTCCTGGGGCAGGGGGTTGGCACCCTCGTCGCCATCGCGGCCGAGCCGCTCTGCCGGCGCCTCATCAACGCGCACCCGCGCGACCCGGAGACGGGTCGCCCCCGGCCCGAGGCGGCCGCCAGTCTCATGGTCGTCGGCGCGGTGCTGGCCCCGGTCGGGCAGCTCGCCTTCGCGTGGACGTCGCTGCCCGCCACCGTCCACTGGGCCGTGCCCATCGCGGCGGGCGTGCCGTTCGGGGCCGGGAACACGCTCTGCTTCATCTACGGCAGCAACTACATTGCGAGCGCCTACGGCATCTACGCCGCCTCGGCCATGGCGGGCAACGCCGTGATCCGGTCCGCGTTCGGCGCCACCTTTCCGCTCTTTGGCCCGTCCATGTACGCGGCGCTGTCGCCGCGCTGGGCGGGGACGCTGCTCGGCCTGCTCGAGGTCGTGCTCATACCGGTGCCCGTGGCGTTTTATAGATACGGCGGGCGCATCCGCGCGCGCAGCCCCGTGATCCGCCGCATGCGCGAGGACTCGGCGCGCAACGAGGGTGGGCGCGCGCGGCGGCGGCGGGGCGGCGGGGCGGCTGGGGGTCCTGTGGCCGGGGTGGTGGCGGCCCCGGGAGAAGGGGACGCGGAGAAGGCGGTGGGGGTGGCGGTGGCCGGCGGTGGCGGCCAGGTGGGAGGGGCTTGGACGCCCGAGAGGACTCCTGGTGGGGCTGTTATCTAGAGCGAGAGCTATTTTGGATGGGTCTTTTACAGCTGTGGCTCGATAAGAAATATTTGTGGACGCAGCCAGAGTGCTTCATCCGACAGAGTTATGCCGACTAAGACGCCTTAAATTTTAGCACCCACGCTCTGAGATTTTGGCAAGGCCAAGCGGCCTGCTACTCCTCGTCCCGTCGCCACGCCGCGGCCCCCTAGCAGAGATGGTAGCATTTATGACATGAGAGACACGCCAAGGTAGCGCTGGATAGGCCCGTGAGCAGCAGCCTTCACAGCTCTGGACGACGCGCGTTGATATTCGCGTGAGAAGCGGCCTAGACTAGGCTTCAAAGACACGCCAAGAGACCCCGAGCAGCCGCCAAGGGCAGCAGGTACGAGCCACCACCATCTACACATTGGCCAAAGGAAACAAGACTATATCCGAGTGGGCGGTGGAAACAAACAATGAGCCCCAAGACATTCGCTCAAAGCCAAGCCACACCGGGGGCTCGTTTCGTTTCCCCAGCACCTTTTGGGATTATTCCAAGACCGACAGCTGAGTCATTTCCCATTTCGGGGGGCGGGGGGGAAGCAAAAAAACGTGCGGGATGGATGAAGGGCAAAATACGGGGTGGGCAAGTGACGGCGCGCGTGTGCGTGCGGAGACATGCATGGGCTAGTCGGGTTACACGACTTTGTTTTTATTTTTGTTGGTATTCTCCCCGCCCGGCAAAGTGGGAGGAAACATAGGACGAAGGGATAGAGGGAGGGGGGGTGTGTATCGCCCGACTGTGCTTGCGAGCTGGGGCAGCAAGGCCCCCCCAGCCTTGGCGGTGGAGGCGGAAGTGGTTCCGAGTTGCAGTCCGACTACTGCACGCTCCGTCACAGACATTGGCTTGGCTGCTGTGGTGGCCACGAAGAGAGAAGAAAGGAAAGAGGGGAGAGGTGGCGTGATACAGGCGGCTACAAAGTATGCCAGCTAGCTGGTTTTTCTCCTCCGCTCCCGACAGTTGGGGAGGAGAGAGAGAGAGAGAGAGGAGGGAGGGAGGGGTGGCGTGTTGGTTCTTGTGTCTCCCAACTACCTGCAGTGCCTGCCCGGTACCTGCACCTCACCCTCCAACCTTGGGACAGCCTCAGACCCAGACCCGGCGGCAGGGGAAGAGACTCGCGCGCCCCAAGGGAGCGGTCGGGCGGGACGGGGAGGGGGCAGGCGGAGGCGCTGTCTGTGACTCTCCCTGCGGTGCGCCGCGGGTTCCTAGAAAAATAGGGGCATGAGTCCTCCCTTACAGCTCGCCCATATGGTTGGTTTGCTTTTTTTTCGTCTCCACTACTCATCACGCGTGATGGGCGCCCGCCCGTATGCAAGGGATGGCACTTCCTACCCAGGCCATTGACCCCCCTCGGTCAGCAAGAGTGACAAGATGTGTCTTGGAGAGGAGGTGTCTCTGGGCATGGAAGGGCTATGCTAAGATTGGATTCCTGGGCAAAAAAAAAAAAAAAATTGAAGCCTTATTTTGTTCGCCCAGCAACTCAACCTCGTGCGAGAGGCGAACACCAAACGACGGCTATACATGAACCGCACAGGGTGCATGAAATACCGCTCGATCAAGGGGGCAACCAGCACCCCTGGTCCCCCGGAGGCCAGAAACAAGAGGCTGGACCCCATCAACGAGAGTTAACGTAGACGTTGTGTTCGGATGCCACAACCTGGGTCCGGGCGGGAGGATGCCGATGCAAAGTAGGCCTGGAGTCCAGTCCACCGAGATGGGATTTCTGGGCGAGACTGCCACGGCGAGCCGCGCCGATCCCCTAGGATGGACGGTATCTCTAACAAACACGTCGCTCCAAAGCCAACGCCGTGAAAAAAAAGAAGAAAATTGTAAAAAAAAATAAAAAAAATATCGAGATCCCCACGTTCCTGATGGCCCGCGGTTCAGCCCAAGTCAACGAGCTAGAGGGAGAACCGTGGAGCCCCTCCTAGGCAAGTCATGGTAGGTTGTTGACCAAGGCGCGCCACCAAAAGCCAGGTGGCGGAATTGACTTTGGTCCATGACAGGGTGGATGGCCTCGATCGCGGCCCAAAATGGAAGCAAGCCTCAAGCCCAGCCAGTCCAGTCCTCCACTATGTCAGAGCGGACTATATGTGGCGTGGCGTGGCGTATATGATTGGGTGATAGGAGCCGTCGACAAGTCGCTCCTCGCTCGGGATACCGGACTTGGTAGGTGGCACGGTAGGTGATAGCAGGGAGGGGGGCGGATAAGGACAGTCATGACGGGATCAGCGAGTCTTCTCAAAACGGCAAATCATCAAAGGGTGTCGTCTGAAGCGAATGAAGAGGACAATGTCCGGCCCGTGCGCGAATCGTCGATTCGATCCCCATGGGCCTTGGCACCCCTGGCGGTAGATCCCCGCCGTCCGACTAGAATTCGGGTGTGATGTGAGGGTTCCCGATGACTGGGCCAGCCGTGTGTGTACCTTGGCAATGCACATATACAAATGTACGTATACATGCACCCGCGCTGGAATGCGGCATACCTAGCCTTGCGCCTCGCGGGATCCGGTCTAAAAGGCAAAAGAGAAGGATAGAAATACCTAAAGAAGAAGGGGGGATAGATGGGATTTAAGTTCTGATGCGGGCAACATGGTTCAAACGCAAAGGAACGAGTCCGCAAATCTTTTTTTTTTATCCGACGAAACTTCCAGGCCGCGTCCATTCCGGGCCAGTACGACACTACAGGTAAGCATGCAACCACAGAATATTGCGACCGAAAAGTCGTGGACGTTTCGTAGTCAAACTGCTCGCCCCCTGCAAATTTCCCCCTCATCGCGTTTTGGGCCGTGGGACATGCCCTTTATTTCTGATTGGGTTGCGCTATATCGTCAAGGGAGGGCGAGCACACAAAGTTGAAAAAGAAAAGGAAAAAAACTCCACCTTGCATCCCCTCCTTCACCCCCGGATATTTCATCTGAGACCCTGTCGCATATGCACTCCATTCTTGGCTTTTGCTCCCGCCGAAACACAGGCAAGAGGGCCGAGAGAGGCGCAGAGGGCGACGGTGAGAAGGGGTTTCGACAGGGGCAGCCCTGCCACATTCTCGGCAGCCGGAGGGGCAGAAGAAGGCAAAAAAAGAAGAAGAGGAGAACATCCATCACGACCCTTTCTGGGGCAGGGCTAAAATCTCTTCCTTTCTTTTCGTTTTACTTTTCTATTTTTTGTTCCCTGGCCACCACAGCCTGAGCCAGGTCGCAATCTTGGCCAAGGTTTTGCGGAATGGGGAATGGCTGAGTGAGAAAATAGCCTAGCGTGCCCAGCCGCCGGCCCTAAAGGGATAGGAAAGGGGGGATGGGACGGACGGACGGCGGGTGGAATGGGGGTGGGAGGTGGAAAGGCCCCTTCCCTAGCAATGTGATATGTAACCACAGGGGCCAGTTCGGACCAAAAGAGATGGGCGTTGGCTAAGAGAATAAGCAAAAAAAGAAGGTAAAAGGTAAAAAGAGAGAAAGAGAGAAAAGAGAAAGACGGACGGGCAGGCCGATCCGAAAGCAGTGCTTTGTAGGAGCATGCCACTAGTCAAGGCTGAGGACGGGCGGTCTCGCAGGGGCGCATAATCCTCCGCCGGACGCCAGACCGGGATGACGGGGGGCGCGATTGATTGAATGATGCTGGGACCGTTGCGCAATCCAGGGAGAGGCCCAAGGAGGAAATGGGGGGTGTGTGGTGGTTTGGTGGGCGTGGTCGTCGGTCCTTTCCCTCCTCCTCATCACGTTTTGTGTTTCCCATATTCCTGGGGACTGTCCGTCATGCACTGGGGAGTGCTTAACGTTCGAGAACATTTTAGCACGGGTCATCTCAAACCCACGCTCGCGGTGATCTTTCCTGCGTGCGCGCCCGGGTTTCGTTTTGATACCTAGCCGCCGGTTCCTGACTGGCTCTGGCTCTGGTTCTGGCTCTGGTTCTAGGCACACAGCTCCTGCTTGCCATCAAAATGTCACCAACGAGACAAATACAGCCGCCGGGCTGTCGGTACGTTGCACCACTTGCTCACCCCCTGTGCACGTCCCCTTTGTGGTGCGTCACTCAGCCTAGGGACGGAAAGGACTGGGCGGTGGCAGCTTGGTCAAAGCTCCTTAATATTGTGGAGGGAGGAGAGTGCGAGACGAAAGCGGCTGGCGTTTCGCACCTCTTGTGGGCTGGCCGGTCAGCCACCAGACAGCCACCAGACAGCCATGGCGGGCAAATAGCAAATGGCCCAGGCTGAGGGCGCCGTGGTAGCGAGAGGTGTGTTTTTGTAGCCTTGGACGTATTTCGGGTCAACCGGAGGAGCTGGCATGGTGGCTGGACTACTCTGCTGCAGTCAAAGACAGACACGCCCACCCTCCTCCTCTTTGGACTGGATGTGCACAACATGGTTGGCGCATCGACTGACTCGTTTCTGCCGACCGCCCCACTTTACCCCTGTGATCCATGGCGAAGATGCGCCACAAGGGCCTCGGCTTTCGATTCGTGACGCGATGAGGTCCTCTTTTTGCCTGTGGGCTGCGAGGCTGTTGGGCTTCTTTCGACTGGCACTACTGTAAACAAGCTGGTTGCCATTCACACAATTTGCGCAGTTTGCATTTCCACAACACACATCTCAACGCCTCCAATCAGTGACGACTGCGACTCCTTGATATCTGCAATATGAGAGGATTCAAGAGTGGGGGGGGGGGATGGCCCATCGAGCAGCCGAGGGGTGTAGTAATAGGGCGGGCGTGGGCGTAGAGATGAAGACCGAGAGAGGAGGCAAAAAGTGGCTGGTTCAGGTTCTGAAGCGTGCTTCCCTTTGCAGCCGAGTGCCTGTGTCTGTGCCTGCGTGAAGTGTGCCTGCCACCCTGGGCCGACATCCAATGGCGCCTTCCCTTTTATGCTTCTCCCCACCGTTTTGCATCCCGTCACCAGTCCAGTCGTGCCTGATCCGTCGCCCTTGCTGCACAGGCAAGACAGGGACTGATTGACTGGCTGTAGTACAGGGACCCCGGCCTGTTCGACCACCCAGGACGCGGCAGATTGCCTAGGATCGGGCTTGCTGGCTCTCTTGTTCACCACCTACATAGTAGTACCCACACCCCTTTGACGCATCCCATCCTCTGCCTGCTGTCTGCCCTCCCTCCCCCCTCTCCTGCCCCAGTCCCCAGCAGCTCTCTGGACGGGCAGCTCTTCTGACCCAGGTACGGTGCTGCCCGTCACGGCCTTGGAGCCACTCCCGCCCCAACGGCCTCCAATCACATCTCAGTCGTGCTAATTCCCACACCATTAGCGTCGCCCAGTCTGGGCACCCACCACCACACTCTTGGGCACCACGCAGAGAGACGCAGACACACAGATAACTCAAACACACAGACACAGACACCATAGACAGCGACACAGACACACACACACATACACCCATCCTCCTCCTCAATCACTCATTCACCACTCACGACGCAACGCGCACCCGCGCACATCATTCACGCACACGCACACGCACGCCTTGCGCTGAGCCGCCGCGTCCTGACTGTCTTAGACAGCCGCCCCGACCGCAAGCCAGAGTCAATCGAATTCCCGCAGTTGTTACAGCGACGTGCTGCCGACCCCTGTCACGCCTGCATCCAGCCTGCGCCTGCACCACCACGCGAGCCGCCACCTCCCCGTTGTCTCTCCAAGCAGCCAATTTTCGGACCCCCCAGTCCTACCTAATCGCATCTACGCCGCCCGCCCCCATCACCCCCCGCCGCTGCCCTCGATCGAACAATTGACGAATTTCGTTGCTCCTCACCCGACGTTACCTCCCATCGATAAAGAAAAAAAAGACTCAAAAGGAAAAACTCGGCCGACATCACCACCACCACCGCCCTCGCCACCTTCCTGATTTCCGCAAACCCGCTTCTCTTTCGATCCGGCTCTTTCCTGCCACCACCGCTCCCGGCCCTTTCTTGATTGAAAAAAAAACCGACGGTGGAGCCTAGCGAAGCGACTTTACCTAGCGAGAGCCGACCGGCTCGTCCTCTTTTTTTTTTTTTTTAGCTCGCTGCTTCTTTTTTTTTTTTGGGAGGCTACGTCCTTTTGCTTTCCGCGCTCTCCTTTTTGGCTTTGATTAGGGTCCGAGTCCCCGCGCTATCGTACGGCGACAGACTTACGCATCCAAAGCCAACAGCCACCGCGCTCGGGTCCTCTTGAGCGTCCCCCCCGCCCGCTCGACTGCCCTTCCTGCGGGCTGCGACCACACATGCTGCCGGGGCGCGCGGCCGTCAACATGTCGGTCATGCTGCAGACTCCCTCTCGAGCATCAACAGCATCATCCTCATCCTACCAACCGCTCTCTCGCCAGAACACCATGTCGTCCTACGATGGCTCGCGGTCCGCCCGCCAGTCGAAGCGGATCTCCATGTCGGCATTGTACATGTCCATGTCGGCCAACGAGACCGACCTCGAAATCGAAGATGACCTCGCCAAAGGTAGGCTCGCGATCCCCCTCCTGACTCGGCGGGCCGACCATCGCCCGCCGCGACCTGGTAGTCGAACACGACACTGACAGCAGTTCTCCTCGATATAGCCCAAAAAGTCCTCCGCGAGCTCAAGACCAAGATCTCGTCGCAGTCAAAGAAGAACTTCGTCCTGGAGAAGGATGTGCGCTATCTGGATTCCAGGATTGCGCTCCTCATCCAGAACCGTATGGCATTGGAAGAGGTGAGCGAAAGCTGCCCCTGACCCGAAACTTGGAGCAAACCCCCTCAATGCTCCATTTCCCAATTGTGGGGTTGTCGCTGACTAGTACGTCACTTGTAGCAAAATGAAGTCGCAAGTCACCTCGAGGATGCTACCGAGATGCAAGAAGGCGCGTTTCCGAACGACGACAAGACGCAGAAATATGGCAATCTTCTGTTCCTCTTGCAGTCCGAGCCGAGGCATATCGCGCATCTCTGCCGTCTGGTGTCCATGTCCGAGATTGACTCATTACTCCAGACCGTCATGTTCACCATTTACGGAAATCAGTACGAAAGTCGCGAAGAGCACCTGCTCCTGACCATGTTCCAGGTCTGTTTGTTCTCCCTGCGACATGAGGCGTCGTGCGCCAGAGCGCCATCGCGGCAGGCCCTAGAGAGATCGACTGACATTGTCTTCCCCCTCGCCGCAGTCCGTCTTGACGTATCAGTTCGACAACACTCCCGAGTATTCTTCTCTCCTCCGTGCCAACACTCCCGTGTCACGAATGATGACCACATACACAAGACGAGGACCTGGACAGAGCTTCCTCAAGTCTGTGCTCGCAGACAGAATCAACAGCCTGATAGAACTCAAGGACTTGGACCTTGAGATCAACCCCCTGAAGGTTTACGAGCGCATGATCGAGCAAATCGAGGAGGATACCGGTACCCTACCGGCCTCGCTGCCCAAGGGCATCACCGGGGAACAGGCCGCAGAGAACGCCCAGGTGCAGCAGATCATCGAGCCGAGGCTAACGATGCTGACCGAGATCGCCAACGGCTTCCTGACGACAATCATCGACGGCTTGGAGGAGGCGCCATACGGAATCAGGTGGATCTGCAAGCAGATCAGGAGTCTCACCAAGAGGAAATATCCCGATGCCAACGACCAGGTCATCTGCACCCTGATCGGTGGCTTCTTCTTCCTGCGCTTCATCAACCCGGCCATCGTGACGCCCAAGTCTTACATGCTGATTGACGGCACGCCTGCCGACCGCCCGCGGAGGACGCTCACTCTGATCGCAAAGATGCTGCAGAACCTCGCCAACAAGCCGTCGTACGCCAAGGAGCCATACATGGCGAAGCTGCAACCCTTCATCCAGCAAAACAAGGATCGCGTCAACAAGTTTATGCTGGATCTTTGCGAGGTCGGCGACTTCTACGAGAGCCTGGAGATGGACAACTACGTGGCCCTGTCCAAGAAGGACCTGGAGCTGTCGATTACGCTCAACGAAATCTATGCCATGCACGGTCTGCTCGACAAGCACGGCAGCGACCTCTGCAAGGACGAGCACTCGCACCTGGCCGTGCTCATGGCCGAGCTCGGCCAGGCGCCGCCACAGGTGCCGCGCAAGGAGAATCGCGTCATCAACCTTCCCCTCTTCAGCCGCTGGGAGACTGCCATTGACGACCTGACGGCTGCCCTGGACATCACCCAGGAGGAGGTCTTCTTCATGGAGGCCAAGACCATCTTTGTCCAGATCATGCGGTCTATCCCTCAGAACGCGTCGGTGGCGCGGCGCCCCCTACGGTTGGAGCGCATTGCCGACGCCGCCGCCACGTCCAAGAACGATGCCATTATGGTGCGCAAGGGAATTCGCGCCATGGAGCTGCTCAGCCAGCTGCAGGAGCTCAAGGTGACGGACAAGTCGGATGGCTTCTCGCTGCTGCGGGATGAGGTCGAACAAGAGCTCCAGCACCTTGGCTCGCTCAAGGACGGTGTCATCGTGGAGACCCAAAAGTTGGATGAAGTGTACAAGACTATCCGCGACCACAACTCGTACCTAGTCGGCCAGCTCGAGACGTACAAGAGCTACCTGCACAACGTGCGTAGCCAGAGCGAGGGGACACGGCGCAAGGCGCAGAAGCAACAAGTCCTGGGCCCCTACAAGTTCACCCATCAGCAGCTCGAGAAGGAGGGTGTGATTCAGAAGAGCAACGTCCCAGACAACAGGAGGGCAAACATTTACTTCAACTTCACAAGCCCTCTGCCCGGGACCTTTGTCATCTCGTTGCATTATAAGGGTACGTTTATCTTGGTTTTTATAATGGGCTTGCTTGTCGACGATTTAAACTAACACATGCAATTAAACAGGACGCAACCGAGGTCTCCTCGAGCTGGACCTCAAATTGGATGATCTGCTCGAGATGCAGAAGGACAACCAGGACGATCTTGACCTGGAGTACGTCCAGTTCAACGTGACAAAGGTCCTTGCTCTGTTGAACAAGCGGTTCGCGCGGAAGAAGGGCTGGTAGAGACAGCGTCGTCTATCATCATCCTCCACCCCTCCGAGCACCCCCTCCGAGTCACCCCAGATCGAGACGGCCCGGTGCCATCGCCGTCGTGCACAGCAACCGCTGCGGCGCTGCTGGCCCACTTGTGCCATGTGTGGATTTCGCCTTTTTTAGGTTCCCCACGCCATCATCTCACATTATCTCGACCCCTTTATTCTACTTATCCACCAGGGGGTTTCATGTCTTGGACTCTCTCTGCCTCCTTCACGTTTGTATCCACTCACATGCTATCTTATCATGTCTTTTTTACTCCTTTTGTGCTTTATCTTTCTTGGCCTCTTCCGATTTGTCGACCCTCCATTCCTCGATACCCGACCGGCGAATCACGTCGTACTACGACCATCACACCGCTTGCCATTGGGTCACCCACACTCGCAAACACATTGCTAATTTGACGAATCTCCTCCCTCGCCCGCCTCAGGGAGAGGCATATATAACGAATCATCTGTTTTCTTGGTGGCTTTGGTGTATCTTATCTGTGTCTTTTTTTTTCTTCCGCATTCTTGAAACCTCACCTGGTATTTATTGTCCGTCGGGCTGCGTAAATCTTCCCGACGGCCCCAGCCAGTGGTGCTTGCTTTCCGAGGGGCTCTGGGTGGTTTTTTTTTCTCCCTTTCCATTCTTCTATCTGCTGTTTGCTCCTCTCTTTTCCCGTGTAACCTCCCCAACCATTGCCCAGCCATGATGCGCCTAGGCGGGACTCTGACATGGGTGCGTGTTGGCTCGTTTTTCTCTCGACTTGCTGCTCCTGTCGCCACCGGGATTCGCCCGCACGGGCGCGAGCGGTGAGGCTCCATGTACAACAAAGAAGGTATTGATTGGAGATCAAAGGGGTCGCTAAGGTCTTTGCAGGACGTAGCAAGAGCAAGCCCTGAGCCCGCCTGGCCCGGGATTGTTATTCTCTCTTTGGGGGGGCTTGTGGGTGTGTCTCTTGCGTCTTGGGTTTAGTTTAGTATGGGGGTGTGTCTTGTTTTGTCCTTGGTCTGGCTTTTGCTGTTTACACCTGTTGGTGACTTACCATAGCTTCTGTTTCGGCCGGTCTGGTGCCTTGTCGAAACCTGTCTTAGTATCAAACACCTTCTATTCTGTTACTCTTCTGAGCGCATCACTTCTCCCCACATGCACTTCTGGAAGGACCACGATGATTGTATTTTGAGGCTTGCCTTGATTGAAGGGTTTTGCACCCCTTCTTGGTCGGGAGAACTTGGTCCAGCCTCACCATGTGTCACCTCAGCGTTCAAGCGCGTCAAATCATTTCATGTACAGAGCATTTCATATACAGAGGATGCATTTGATTAAAAGAGCGCGAGTCCTACGCCTATATCGCCCCATCTCATGAACCCTTGACCTCGATGCTCTGGATCAGATCCCCCCCTATCCTCGCCATCTCTGACAGCATGGCCTCGCGGTTGACCTCGACGACATCATCGTCGTCCCCGCTGTTGTAGCTGTCGTCGCTGTCCACCTCTACGTCCCTGTCGTCGCCCTTGCGCTTCCTCGCCGCCGCCGCCGCCGCCGCCGCCGCCGACGACGAGCCGACGGGCCTAAAGGAGCAGGGAAGGTTGACGCGGAAGGAGCGGCGCTGGACCGTCGGGTTCCAAATGCCGCCGACGGCCAGGTCGTCGGCCGCGCCGCGGAACAGCACCAGCGCGGCGCCGTAGGCGTCCTCGAGCCGGCCCAGGAGCGCGCCCACGGGGTCGCGCGCGAGGGGCGGCCGCGCGCCCGTGGCGGAGCCGTCTAGGTTCTTGAATCTGGACTTTGCCGCGCCCGCGTCGCCGCCGCCGCCGCCGCCGGCGGCCCTGAGCCGCTTGACGGTGGGGCCGTCGAGGTGCAGCACCACGTCGTAGTCGGCGAGCGAGGGCGCGAACAGCATGCGGGGCTCGAGCTGAGCTGGGTCCCGCTCGCGCACCAGGCGGCAGGCCGAGCGGGCGAGCGCCGTCATGCGCGACGCGGCCACGCGGCTGGGTAGCGCGCGGCCATCGGCGCTCGTGAAGGCCGTGCCCGTCTCGTCGGCGGGGGTGGCGATGAGGAGCACGGTGCGGTTCATGGCCGGGTCGAGCGTGCGCCGCCAGGCCGTCAGGCGGGCCGACACGGCCTGGCGCGCGGCCGCGTCCATGTCGCCCGAGGGGTCGACGATGAGGGGCTCGTCACGCCAGTCCCAGCGGGCGAGGAGCATGAGCGTCCGCAGCAGGCCCGTCACGGGGCCCGAGGGGATCTGCCACGGCGCCGGGTTCATGAAGGCGTGTAGCGCCGCGAGCTCGACGACCTCGGGCAGGAAGTGGTTCGTCAGCTTGTGCGAGGCGAACCAGTGCTTGACGAGGCGGATGGTCAGCGACAATGCGGGAAAACGAGTGCAAAAGGTCGAGATGGTCTGGTTGAGCAGCGGCAGGTGCGTGAATCGTCGGCGTGAGGTGGCCAGGAAGCTAGCGCTCTCGGTGCGCGCGAATTGCTCGAGCGTTTTGTCCTTGGTTTGGCGATCGAGAAGGGTCTCCTCGAGGTCGCTGTGGACTCGGAGACGGAAGACGGCGCCCTCGTCGTAGACGATATCCAAGAAGGCCAGGTTTTCGTGCTCGTGCTCGGCATCCTCTAGACCGACATGGGTGGTGATGCTGGAGTTTGCTGACGAGAGAAGGTCCCCAATCTTGAGCAGGAAAGCCACCTTGGTGCGCTGGATGGCAGCAATGTTATCGGGCCACTTGCTTGAAACCTCGAAGGATATCACCACATCCATCGGCCTGTAGGGCGCTCGTGGTTGGTCCAGCTGAGGAGCTTTCACCGATGACGACCGTAGTTCTGGAGCTGCGGGCGCGACGTGCCTCACCTGCAGGGGTAGATCTTCCAGGGACCGGATATCGCGCTCCAGTGTCGAAAAAGCCTCGCGGGCTGTAGAGTAGGCTGCCGCATCTGAGGCTTTTGCGTGTATGAGGGAAGTGAACCCATTGCCGTAGAACTCAAGCTCGCTCGCATCCATCTTGAGGTGGAGCTTGAGGATGTAGTTCACAATCTCCTTGCAAACACCAAACGGCGTATCGTGCGTCCAGATTAGCGTTTCCTGTATGTTGCCGTCCTTGAATCGCCTCAACTCGGATCTTTCGCCCCAGAACTGCCGGTACTTCCTCGCTTCCGCCTTTTCCTCGGCTGATGGTCCGTGATCGACTTTCCGGCCCATCTCAGCCGGGTCGAAAATGACACCGACGAGGAGTGTATCTGATTCTGTAGCGAGCTTGGGGGATTTCGAAGGACTCCATGAACGCTGCTCTGGTAGTTTGATGTGGATGAGCTGCGCCCGGCCAGTCAAAGCCCGCTTTAGAATTCGGTGCACCCTGCTGGCGAACTCGAACATACCGCCCTGTGAGCCGGGAGTCCTGGCCTCATCAGCGCTCGGGCAAGGTACTTGAACGAGCAAATCGAAGATTTGGAGAGGCACATCTGCCTTGGTGATAAAAGCCGCAGTGAACTGGTTCACGGTGCTGTTGTTGAGCACATCCAGCGTCCACTTAGCCTGCCGTTTCAGCATTGCAGCCGACCAAGGGCTCATCTTGAAACCAAAGTTCAGCTGCCTCGCTGCGTCGTACAGTACCGGGCTAGGCTCGCGCACCGACTCTATGTTCACGTCACCTAGCTTGCCCAGAACCACGGGCTTCCTGCTGCCATCGGCTAGATCAGCCTTGGCCAGAAACTGTATGGCAGCCTTGAACATCTGGTGGCTGCTGAGGGCCGAGGAGAGCGCGGACTGCTGGTCTCCGCTTTTCCGCCGCCTGTTGCTTTGCATAAGCAGGGATAGTAGCAGCGACCACTCAAAGTGGCCAAATCCGCCCCGTGAGATAGAGGCGCCAAACCCTCTCTGCTGCAACCACACGCGCCCGAGAGCACATGCATCTTTAAAAGCGGGCGACACTTTCTCCGTCAAGCGGAGTGCCTTGAGGTAAGTGAAGTAGAGCCCCTCCGCTTTTAAAGTTGAGTTGTAGAAAGGAGTCGGCGCTGGGGTGGTCTCTTTGTCCTCGGCGCCACCAGGAGGGCGCACTGCATTGCTCGTCGACAACAGCTTGTTTCTGGGGAAGAGGCGGTCAGGCGCGCAAGGAATTATCCTCACGGTGGCGCCTGACTTGCTCCTGGCGGAGTCCTTGGTATCTTGCGCAGCGGAGACACGTAGGGCCGGTACTAGGGGGTTGTCGTTGAGGCGCGCAAACGACACTTCCAGGCCGAGCTCCTTGCGCACCTGGGCCGCAAGGTGGGCGAGAAAGTACGCCCGTTTGTAGAAATACCGGAGATTCAGGTAGTCTTTTTCCTGGAACATGCCCTGCGGCATCTCGACGACCATGTCCACGGCCATGTCGCCCTGTGACTTTATCATGGTCTTCGAGACGTAGCTGCCGACGACATTGAAGACAGTCGGGCGCTCAAGTGAGAGCTTGTACTGCGAGTCCTTGGGCGGCTTTGGGTCTGGGAAGGGGATGCGGATGCCGCTCTCATTTTCGAATCGCTTCACTGCGTCGTTAATCTGGAAGGAAAAGAGGAAGAGCGTTAGCAAGGCTTGGGTTAGGATTAGGGTACAAGGGACTCGCACGGGGTGGCCATACGGGGAGCGGTCCATGGGGGTCCAGGGTCTCGATGGCGCCCTTGATCTTGTGGAGGAGCTGGTCGGCGCCCTTCAACGCCTCGGATGGATCGATCTTGATCTCGCTCAGGAGCTCCTCGGTCTCAAGGATAAAGGGGCTCGGCCGATAGACGCCTGCCGAGCTGGCAGCTGCCTCCAGAACGCTGCCATTGGGAATTGATGCGCCGGACTCGGAGATTTTTCGACGTTTGGCCGGTGAGGAGTCCATTTTGAGCGATGTGAGGAGTCGCTGACCTGTCGTTTGGTGCTCCCTGGCCTTTTTGCTCAAGTGCGGCCACTGCCGCGCGACAGCTTCTTGCGACAGGAAGCGGGTGAAAGTCGCGTTCTAATTTTTTTCGACACGATAAGATAAGCACGATGCAGCTCCAAATGCGGGGAGCCGCCCACCGAGAGTGCGGGTGGCACAGTACAATTACATGTCAGGACACACTGTCAACCCACCTTTGTGCCGCTGGGATGATGAGACCCAGGACAGGCCGTCAGAGTTGCGAACCTGAACTGCCTAACCAGAAGACGCACATTATTCCACTGAGGGAGTTCGCGTCGCTGCCTCGTTTGATTGCTGTGGGATTATAGTATGGCTCCTCCGCCTTGACACTCGCTGCTCCGCCTCGCTATCTCCCCTGTCACACTCTCCCTTTACTTCCGCCTGGTGAAGTCATCATAAACTGCTCCATCTCTAGGCCCATCCTGGACGGTCGTGGTGGAGATGTCCAAGGCCGTTCTCAAGGCAATCGGCGAGCTGATCCGCCAGTCGAAATGGGACGACGCGATTCAAAAGGCTGAAGCTTTCGTGCAGAGTGAGCCCAAGAGCTTTCAAGGGTGGGTGATTGTCTCGGCCAACTACTCCGCTACCCAATCAACCATGCTAACGAGGGTAATAGACACATATTCCTGGCGTTCGCCTTGGACAAAAAGGGCAAGCTCGCCGAGTCTGAGTCGAGCTATCTTGCCGCAAGCGCCCTGAAACCCCAGGACCCACAACCATGGCAGGGTCTGATCAAGCTCTACCAAAAGCAAGCCTGTGCCCGGCTTGACGGATACAAACACGCAGCTGTCAAGCTGGCCGAGCATTACCACAGCCAAAATGATTTGTACAGGTGTCAGGACGTCATCATCCAGCTCACAGAGCACGTCAAGAACACAGGAGATCAGGCCCAGTATATTGATGTCCTCGAGGTTACCCTGCCGGGCAGCCCCATCTATCCAGCCCTCGAGGGCAGACTGCCGCATCCTGCCAGGACATATGAGACCATCGCACAGTTCACTGAGGCCACCGAAAAGAAAAAGATCAACACACTCATCGGCGAGCGCCGGACCCGGATCGGCGCAAGGATCAACGATGTCACCGTCGAAGTCAAGCGCGAGGTCCTGGGCCAGAGCAAGCTAGGAGAGATCTACCGCAACATCATCAACTGGACAAACGACGACGAGCTCCGTCGATCGTACGAGGAGAAGCTTCTCCAGCACTGCTACGACAGACTCTTGGCCTTCCCCCATGGCGAGGAAAAGGCTCGCGAGCTTGAGGTTGTGCAGAAGCTGGCTGCTGACATGGTAATAATCAAGCACCCGTTCAAGCTCGCTTGGGATATTGTCGTAGACTGGCAGGATCACAAGGAAACCAGGCAATGGGATGTCACCGTCTTGCGTGACTACTGCGCATTCTTCCCAGACAGCGACCTCTACAAGATCATCACCGGCTACCTCACGAGTACTATTTCGCCTTTTCCCAAATCTGAGGGGAACCCCGATGATGCCGGGACGAAAGGCGATGCCGCCAATGAAGACGAGAGCGAGGACGATGATGACGGCGGAGCCCCAACAGCATTTGTCCCCATCACGGACGAAGATCGGATCCTGATGATGACGGAGGGGATCAGCACAGCGAACTCGCTATTTGCGTGCCGGCTAGTTGGCGAGTACTATCAGCACCTCGAGGAGCATGATAGCAATGTCGACCTGATGCGCAAAGCGCGGGAACTTGTCAACAGCCAGAGAAGGGAAACCGGACTCAAGTTTGAGAACACTGAAAACGCGCTGCTCGTGTATCTCGGCACTGCGCTAGTCTTCTATCAGTCCCCGAGAAATCACCAGGAAGCCAAGGCGCTTTTCGACAGCGTTCTCGAGCGTGATCCCACAGCCACCCCTGCTCTGATTGGCGTAGGTCTAATCTACGAGGAAGAGGAGGAGTTCGACGACGCCATCGCTTTCTTGGAGAGAGCGCTGGGCCGTGACCCTGAAAACCTGCGGGTCCGCTCCGAGGCGGCCTGGGTCAAGGCTCGGAAGGGTGACTTTGCTGCCGGCAAGGAGGAGCTCGAGGCTTGCGTCCCCTTGATGGAGAAGGGCGGGCCCCCCATGAAGGGACTGCTGGCTCAGACCCAGTACCGCCTAGGAGTGTGCATCTGGAACGTGGACACGTCCAAGGCTGCGCGCAAGAGTCGGGCAGGCGCATACGCACAGTTCCTGGCAAGCTTGAAGAACGACCTCAACTTTGCTCCGGCCTACACAAGCCTAGGAGTCTACTACGAGGACTACTGCAAGGACAAAAAGAGAGCACGCAAGTGTTTCCTGAAGGCCGTCGAGCTGTCGCCGTCCGAGGTCGAGGCTGCGGAACGACTTGCGAGGTCCTTTGCTGAGGACCGGGACTGGGACCGAGTGGAGCTCGTGGCGCAGCGGGTCGTGGATTCAGGCAAGGTCAAACCCCCTCCTGGTTCTAAGAGAAAAGGGTTGGGTTGGCCGTTCGCAGCATTGGGAGTCGCGGAGCTCAACAAGCAGGACTATGCCAAGGCCGTGGTCTCGTTCCAGTCCGCGCTTCGCATCAAGCCTGATGACTACCACTCCTGGGTCGGCTTGGGCGAGAGCTACTACAACTCGGGTCGGTACATGGCGGCGACAAAGGCCACGCTAAACGCGCAGGAGCTTGAGGGCACGCCATCGGGCCCGCAGGACCCCGCAGACGTTTGGTTCACCAAGTTCTTGCTAGCAAACATCAAGCGCCAGCTCAGTGATTATGACACCGCCATAGATCTCTACAAGGAGGTGATCACGAGCCGACCGGACGAGGATGGAGTGGCAATCGCGCTGATGCAGACCATGGTTGAGAGTGCCCTGTCGGGCGTGGATAAGGGCCTCTTCGGCAAGGCTGTGGGGCTTGCGGTCGACACCATCGACTTTGCCACGAAGGCGACGGCAACAGTCTCGGACACTTTTAACTTTTGGAAGGCTGTGGGCGATTCCTGCTCCATCTTCTCGAGCATTCAGGGGAGGCTGTCGGAGTTCCCTAGCGACGCCGTGAGTGCTCTCATAGGAGACGACGACGGGCGCCCCGAGTACGACACGTTCAGAGACATAGATAATGTCGGCGTGAAGGTCATCCAGACCAAGAGCGTATGGTCGGAGGAGGAGAAGCTTGGTGTGGAGCTCACCCGGTGTCTGCAGGCGTCCATCCTGGCGCACAAGCGTGCGGTCTACGTGTCTTCACGCGACGTTCACGCCCAGGCTGTGGCCTATTTCAACCTGGGTTGGGCCGAGTACCGGGCCCACACGTGCCTGCCTCAATCAATCAGGCAAAAGTCGAGCAGCTATCTCAAGGCGGCTGTGCGAGGGTTCAAGCGCGCCATCGAGCTCGAAGCCGGCAACGCAGACTTCTGGGATGCGCTCGGTGTTGCAACGAGCACCATCAACCCGGCCGTTTCGCAGCACGCCTTCGTCCGGAGTCTGTACCTGAACGAGCGTGGCGTGTCGGCTTGGGCGAACCTGGGCACTCTGGCGCTCATGCAGAACGACTTGGCGCTCGCCAATGAGGCCTTTACGCGGGCGCAGTCGACAGACCCGGACTACGCCCACGCCTGGGTCGGACAAGGATTTGCGGCGCTCATGTACGGCGACGCCCGCGAGGCACGCGGGCTGTTCACTCACGCAATGGGTATAGCAGGGTCGTCATCGACTGTGACGCAGCAGCAGTACTCCGTCTCCATGTTCGACCACGTTGTCGCTGGGCCACCGGGCGGCGTTCCCATCGGGTCGCTTCTACAGCCCGTTTTCGCCCTCGGCCAGCTGCGGGCCCTGCGGCCGCAGGAACTTGGACTAGGCCACCTGTCAACTCTCTTCCACGAGCGTGTCGGACATCACACCAGCTCTGCAGCTGTGCTCGAGCCTATATGTGCCTCACTCGAGGCTCACTACGAAAAGACAGAATCCCCGGAGTCGCTTCGGCGGTTCGCACTGGCCAAGACGGACCTGGCGCGCTCCTTGCTAGCCTCGGGCCGCAACGACGAAGCGGTCGAGTGTGGTGAGATGGCGCTGCAGCTGACAGAGGGAGACGAGTCGGAGCTCCCCGTTGAGGAGCGAGCCAAGGCCCGGCTGTCGTCCCATCTCACCCTGGGCCTGGCGAGGTACTTTGCGGGCGACGTCGACGACTCTATCACCTATTTCCAAAAGGCCCTGGACGAGTGCGGCGAGCAGATGAATGCGGACGCCGTGTGCTTGCTGGCTCAGGTGCTCTGGGTCGCAGGTAGCGATGAGGCACGCGAGCAGGCGCGGACTTCGCTCTTCGAGGTAGTGGAGCAGTGGCCGGACCATGTGCCGTCGGTATTACTGCTAGGCGCCATTGCGCTGCTCGACGGAGACGCCGAGAGTCTCGAGGCGGTCTCAGCCGAGCTGCAGGCTCTGCGGGCGAGCGATGCCGTCGGAGCGACTGGCCAGTCGCAGATCAGCGAGGTGTTGCGGGCTGCGGCAGCTCTCGGAGAGGGCGCTGACGTTGCCAAGGAACAGGCCCAGGTCGACATCATGCTCCACCCGTACCTTCCACACGGCTGGCTGAACTTGTCAGCGGTGGCGGGCAAGGATGGAATCGAGGCGGCGGCGGCGACCCAGAGCGCCAAGGTTGCGGTGGAGCTTGCCCGGCTGGCCGTGGCACCAAGGGGCAACCTCGCGGCCGAGGACCTGGCGACGACGTATGCGGGGACGGGTAGGGCCGTGGACGCGCAGACGGCCATTATGGCTGCGCCGTGGATCAAGGAGGGCTGGCACGGACTGGCGGATTGTCTGGCTGCTCAGTAGGCGGGTTTGTGCTCGGCTAATGTGCCTGGATTATACAATGCTATGTAAAGCAGCTGGTGGGGGTTAGGCATGTTTTTCTGTTCGGGATGGTCTAGGGAGGGATGTCTAGGCAGGTGTGGACTTTCAAGCCATGATAGGTTGTGTCAAAATACATGTTGGATTATACACGACTCTTAGACCTGCTCACATTTCTCTCCTCCTCTTCTCTGGGTATCATATTTTCGACATGGCTATCATCAAGAACTGTATGGCGAACAACCACCTAAGCACGCAGGCAGCGATTTCATATCACCTATCTCGAGTCCCTGTCGGGGTTTCCGGCCGCCTCCTTCAGCCTCGCCAGCCTGCCGTCGACCCACGCCTTCTGCCAGGCCTCGACCTTGCCGCCTAGGACGACGCACCTGTCGGGCTCGAGCAGGACGGTGCCCCGCGCGACCACGGTGCCGGCGCGGAGCAGCAGCTTCTCGCCGATGTTTGTGCGGCCGACGCCGATGCGCTCGACGCGCCGCAGCTCCAGCCCGAAGAGCTTCTGGCCCCTGCAATCCTGCAGCACGAGGCGGTGCGTCGCGTTCCTGTCTGACGGCTGCTGCTGCTGCTGCTGCGGCGCCGCACCGCCCGGGCGGGCAGGAGCGGCAGCAGGGGTGGCGGCAGCATGGCCACCGTCCTCGTCCTCGTCCTCGTCGTCGTCGGCGTCGGCGTCGCGCACGCGCACGACCTGGCGGCCGCGCGTCAGCTCGCCGCGCGCCACGGCCTCGAGCTCCTCGACTTGGTCCCAGCGGCTGCGCGAGAGGTTCTCGACGTCGAGCACCTGGCAGGCCACGTCGCGGGGCAGGCGGACCTCCTCGGCCACCACTGCGGAACCACCACCACCACCACCACCACCACCACCACCAGCAGTGACGGGCGGGAACGGCGCGGTGCCGGCCGGGTCCAGCAGCCCCGGGGCCGTCAGGTCGGCGGCCAGCAGACGCGCCTTGGCCGTGGCCGTCAGGGACGGCAGGGGCGGGAGGGGCCGCGGGCGGGACGAGAGGAGGTTCTGAAGCCAGGCGTGGGAGGGGGGTGGGAGGGATTGCGCGACGAGGGAGGCGCGGATTTGGGCGGCTGGGTCGTCCATGGGAGGCTTTTTGGTTGTGTTTGGTGGTTCGGTTGTTGGATGGAATTTTATTTTTTGCCATGACAGAATCCTGTCGCAATTGATGCTTCTAGAAATTCCCCATTCGGTCAATCTGGTGGTGCACGGGTTGTGGGTTCCTGCAACGATCGACGGCGCAGGGACTAGGGTGCTGTGGGCGGTGCCACCAATCGGGCAGGGATTACATAACCCAACCAACGACACTCCACCATCTGCGAATAACACGGCGTTGAATGTGGTGAAGGAGTGAGAGGATAGAACAATAACAGATAGTGGCATGGGGATTTGTTCTTGGTTGACAGGGAATTAAAATGTACGGCATACATACAGCAAAGATTCGTGATTTGAAACGGAGGAAGTGGTTGTCCATGAACCCAAGAGCAGCAAGGGAAGGGTCATGTCAGTGATAAAAGGCGAGGATTGCAAGTCGAATAAAAATACGCCAGGCCACACACTTGGGGCACTCTTGGGGCACACTCTGTTCAAACAAACACAGGCAGGATGCTAGATGCCCAAAGACATGAACCTGCGAATGCCATGAATAAAAGTACGTTGCAGCGTCGTCTGTGGCAGTAGAGGCCGAATAGACTGCATACAGAACAGAGCAGAGTAAAGTATTGCCGAAACAAGACACGCATGATGCCAACCAATTCTGTTTAAAAATAGGGCGCCGACTAGTGACAATAATGTACGAACTACACAAAGAAGAACCCTTTTGCCTCTAGGCCAGACGAGACAAGTGCGGCTGGATGATCAATCAGATGCCGGCGGCGGCCTGGGCGGATCTTCAGTCCACTGGAACTGGCCAGCCGATGGCGGGCTCGATACTCCCTGTTCCTAAATGCTAGTCCAAGTCCCAGAAGCTAGGCAGCACGGAGGGCCAGGGGAAGAGAAGAGACGTGGGTTCTTTGGCGAAGGCTCGTCGCGCCCGTCTGCGGTCCAGGGCGAGACTCGCCAGCCAGCGCCCTCCATGCATGCAAAGAAACAGCCTTTGACTTCCTCCAGTGACAACCGTTTGCAATGCGTGCCGGCCGGATTCCATGTCATCCCTGAGAAATTGCGTGGCGGCTCTTTCCCGTGCTGCGGTCCAAGGGGCAGTGGCGGAGCGGGCTTGATGCTGCCCCGAGCGCCATCGTTGTCACTTTTTTTGTTTTTTGGTCCCCATTTTCGGTCGGCGTTGCTACACGCGCCAACCCAAGCAGCCACCACAATCAAGGCAAAAGAGTTAAACGTAATTGAGTAATCGGTTCGTTGTTTAATTCTCTACATTTTGAATGTCATTTCATTGCATGCCGACCCAGGTTGCGCATTGTGATGTTGGTGGCCGCGCCACCACTCGAACCTTGGACCTTCGCTCCAAGCGTGCTGGACAGCGGCATCGCGCCTTTTGCCACTTTTGAGGCCGACAAACAGGTCAGAGATGTTCCAAAAAGAAGGAGATGATAGTCGAGAAGCATAGGAACAAGATAAAAAAAAGGCAAAACGAGGGGCGCCCCTCGGCGGCCGAGCATCAGTCGTCCAGAAGAGCTATTGGCGTCGACACCTGAGGCGAAGAGCTAGCTCATTCCTTAGACATGTGCTCCGTCAAGAACCACTTGGCCAGGTGGAACTGACACCGCTGTTGGAGACCTGCCGAGCGGACCTCACCTATAAACGGTGGGCTCCTGTGGGTCCCCTCCTCCTCGAATTTTCTGCCTGCTCCCCTCCCACACCTGCGGAGGGTCCCTGGCCCAGCTGCCAGCCAGTCGCCCACCCGCATCGGCCACCACACATCCAGCCATCAGCGCCTCGCTCGCATGGTGTTGGCGCCCACCATCCACCAACTTGCCCGCCTCCATCTTCAAATCCACTGCCCACCATCCCGCACGACTTAGCAAAAGCCGCCCTGCATCGCATCCGCATGACAGCTGAGTCACCCTCAGGCATCTGATGTATCGTTCGAACCCACTTGGGTGACCACCAAAGCCCATCTGGCGCCCCAGGCCAAGCGCGTCGCGACGCGAATGGCCCTCACTGTGAGCGAACTCGATGGGCAGAACGCCACTCGGTCCCCGATGCAAACTTATATGCTAGAATCGCCGAATGATCCTATACGTCAACGCCGGCTTCTGCTGAACGCGTTCATCCACGCCGACGATGAACGGTTACGCACTCTGGCCGTCTGATGCATCTGCCATCGATCGTGTGCCGGCGAGAAGCCCCGACCGGGAGACCTATCACACGATAGGCCTACCCAGGACCTGTCGATTCCACCACCGAGGCAAAGGCAACCGAGTCGAGTTCGTCATGCCAAATGGCCGGCTCGGTCGGAACTGTGCGGTCGAAGACGAAGATGGATACAAACGCTGCCTTCGGTTGAAGGTGCACCGCCCACGTACCTGTCGCCATGAGCGTCAGGGCGCATCCACGAGCGCCAGCACTGTCGGGCTGTGGACTCCCGCGTGCAAGCAGACTAAGTACAGGGTTCTGACTCCATGTCTTCCGGCGTACTTGGTGTCAAAGGTGTCAAAGATGTCAACCATACCCACCATTTCTGGGCCGCACACGACTGCGTGAGGGCTAGAAACTGTCGTGGGTTGTAAACCGAAGATGGCCTGCGGACGCTAGACCTCGTGTCCGCGGCCAGATCGCAGCCACGCCAGAGTTCGAGGGACAGGAGCAGCCTCGCTCGATACCACGCAGCCCCATCTGTGATGGCTGAAGCCGCTAGAATAGCGAGCGCCCTCCGATGTCTGGAAAGTCTGGCGATGGGAAAATAGCTCGAGCTTGCCCAGAGCAAATAGACTCCAAGAAGCCCGCGCAACCCTTCTCCCGCCTCTCTGGCAGATGAGAGCAGCGCCAGGAATAATGAAAACAGGAGACAGACCGACAGAAACAAACAGAGCCTAGCTACTGCTAGTGCTATCGGCGAAGGGAACAAAGGGATAGCATTTGCAGACAGAAGAAATGGGGCTGGCAGGGTGGACTGGTCGCTTGAGCCACAGGCCACCACAAGGCCTGCTCCTACCTCGGGGAGCGGCGCTGCTCGAGGATCGCAGAGACCGTCAGCTGTGCGAACCAGCGGCGACCATGCGCGAATGATTTCCGTCGCTCTGTCGTCGTCGGCACAGGAGAAGCTGTCAGTGCCAGTGTTGATGATGAATCGTCGTCGGGTCGTCGTGGTCGATTGAGGGAATGGAGATATAGGCGAAGGAGAGAGAAAGAAAGGGGAAGGCTCGCATCGGGAAACAGAATAACCCTTTGTGGGCAGGGGCTGACTTATTAGCTCAGCCGCGCTGACTGGATTGCTGGGATCCATCAGGCTTCCCCAACGGGTGGACCAATTGACCACGTCACAGGCCCATTTGGCGGCGTTTCGGGGAGAACTCAATACAACCCATTTACCCCATTCGGACGCTACAGCAAGCACAAGCCGACGAGCCGCAAGCTGCCTCGGGGCGCCGCCGCCGCTCGCCAAACTCCCCCAAAGCCTCCATGCCGAAGACGCCGACCAGGCCGACCGCGTGACCCTCCCGAGCCCGTCGCAGGAGGGGAGCCCAGACCAGACCAGATCCAACCACCCACCATGTCCACAATAGCAACGCCGCGGGAGATCCCCCGCCGGGTGCACTCGACCCAGACGCCCACCTCGTCGTCCCGCCCCTCGCTCGACGACCCGCGATCCCAGACCTCGTCGCCGAGCGGCGGCAACGCCGCCGCCGCGGGGCCGACGTCGGCCCCGGGTAGCGCGCAGCAGGCCGCCCCGGGCGCCGCGCGGCGCAACCGCGCTGCGCTGCGCGAGTACTACAACCTGAAAAAGGCGGCGGCGGTAGCAACAGCAACAGCAGCAGCGCCGACGCTCGAGGTGACGGACGACTCGGCCGACGGCGCCGACGGCGGCGGGGGCCTGGCGGCGGGCGGCTACTCCGAGGTGGCGCCGTCCGAGATGGACGCGCCGGGCTTCGACGCGGCCGCCTTCGTGGCGCGCGCCGCCGCCGAGAGCTCGCTCGCCGACCTGCTGCGCACCTACACGCGCGTGCTGTCCGAGGCCCGGGCGCTGGACGCCGAGAAAAAGGCGCTTGTGTACGACAACTATAGCAAGCTGATCACGGCGACCGAGACGATACGCAAGGTTCGTTTTTTTTCTTCTTCTTTATTTTCTCCAGCTTTGACTCTACTACACAAAAAAACTCGACTGACAAATTCATGTCTCAACAGATGAGGGCAAACATGGACCCGCTCAACCCCATGGCCTCGACGCTCGACCCGGCCATCGCGCACATCTACAACCAGGCCTCGTTGATACGGGAGGAGATGCGGCGTGAGGTGCAGCCGCCCGAGGAGCGCGGCGACCGGGCGGCCGAGCGGGCGCGCAGGGAGCGGACGCGCGAGGTGGCGCGGCTAGTGCTGGCGGCGCCCGCGCGCGTGCGCGAGCTCGTCAGCGACGACAAGCTCGACGAAGCGCAGAGGGAGTGGGCGCTGCCGAGGCGGCTGCTGCTGTCGTGGAAGGAGCGCGGCGTCGGCGGGCCCGACGTGGACACTTGCCTAGAGGCGGGCGACGCCGCGATACGGAGCGGGGTGGACGCACAAAATAAGGAGCAGAAGGAGGATGAGGAGGAGGAGAGTGAAGACGAGGGCGGCCAAGGGAGTGAGAGCGACGGCGACTAGGGCCGGGAAGACCTTACGGATTGGACTGCTTTTGAGACTAGGAGGAACAAGCATTTATACCCCAATTGAAGACGAAGCTAGCGATAACTCGACCCGAGGTTCGCTGTGATGGCCCAGTCCCCAGAAAGGCTACGCAGGCTTGTCGACCTCCCAACATCTACCAGCTGCCTCGAAAGCACACACACCCCACTCACACAAGAGTTTCCACATCCCAAATCTCGAAAGGATCGGCATCCACCTCGCTCACAGCCACCTCGGCCGGCGGGCCCGCGTACAGCCCGCCCAGAGCCTCGGCCAGCTTCCCGCGCATCACCTCGCGCAGGAAGGCGCGCTCCGAGTTGCTGTGGAAGACGGTGACGACGTACCTGCCGAGCATGGTGAGGCGCAGCGCGGCGTGGTGGCTCATCTCGCCCGTGACGACCACGTCCGCGTCGGCCCCATGCAGCACGTCGGCGCCCGAGCCGGCGCAGACGGCGACCGAGGCCACCCTAACGGCGGCCAGGCGGGCGGCGCGCTCGGTCGGGGACTCGTAGCGATGGGATGCGGGGCGGGGCGCGGCGACGGACACGTAGCGCTGGCCGCCCAGGCGGGCGGCGGCGGCGCGCACGAG